ACGTATATGATTAAATTTTATTTTATCTTATCGTCTCTTTAAAAAATTATTGCAAACGTAATTCAAAATTATTAGAAATGTTATTTTCTGTTTGGAAAATTATTTAAAATTTATAATTATTATTAAAATATTATCTCTCTTTAAAAAAATTTAGAAAATTAAAATTATTATTAACAAAATTAAAATTCAAATTATTATTTTAAAAATTATCTCCCTTTGAAACAATTTTTTTATCTCGTCTTGCAAATTATTATTGAAAAAATTAAAATTGTCAAAAAAAATGCAATTAATATAAAAAAATTATTATTAAAACAATTAAAATTATCAAAAGAATTACAATTAATATAAAAAAATTCCAGAATATTAATATTATTAATATTAAGGAAATAGAAAATCTGTCAGTATTTAAATTATTATTTAAAAAATTATCTCCCTTTTTTTTATCTCGTCTTGAAAAATTATTGAAAAAATTAAAATTATGAAAAAAATGATAATGAATATAAAAAATCCCACTAATATAATTAATATTGAAAAAAATAATAGAAAATATGTCAGTATCCGAGTTTCGCGACACACTCGAGAAAGATCGCTCATTCTGTCCTCCCCTCTTCTTTCGACCGCGATCGGAGAATTATCCCCCGAGGAGAAATGAAACGTCACGTCGGAGGAGACGACGTTGGAAAAGCGGTGTTCTATGAATGGAGGCGAGCCTCGGATCAGTCGACGAGGCAAGGACGACTAATTATAGCGTTGGTATCTCTCCCTCCCTCTCTCTTTCAACTTCGTTTTGTTACATTAACCATGTGCACCGATCGTCCGTGCATATATGTACGTGTACGGATATATTTATGTATATATATTTTACACACACAGAGGGAGCCGCGCGCGCACGTGTATTATGAACGCTTAGTACGCCCTCTCGGGGCATAATCTCTCAGATTATGGTCCGAGGATGGAGGACATGACCCATTTTGATCGACGACGTCGTCGACGACGTCGCCAATCCGGCGTCGGCGCGGGGATGCGAATTCAGGACGTGCGTCACGCTTACCCTTGTGCCGGCTCTCTCTGTCGACACCTGGCATCTCGCACAAATTACGTGTCCACGCATGCCGACAAATTATTTGCGCGCGATTGTCGGACGGATGATATGCGAGCGAGAGATGTGTACACTGAAAACAAATTTCTCAACTTCACTCAATTACTATTTTGTTCATTGAACATATATTAGTATTTAAGTCAAATATATACGTTTTGTTACATTTAATTGAAGAAAAATTAAAAAATATAATAAGATGTAAGAGATAGGATAGAAAAAATTTTAATTAAATATAACAGTAAATCTAACAAAACGTATATTTAACTTAAATACTAATAAAGCTTTCAACTAAGTATTTTAATTTAAAAAAATTTTTTTAAATATAAAAAAATAAAAAATATAAGATATATAAAATATAAAGATATATTTTAAAAAATTCGAATTTAATATGTTGTATTTAATTAATTTAAATTTTTTATATATCTGTATATTTTATATCTTATATTTTTAATTTTTTTATATTTAAAATAATGTTTTTAATTAACAAAATAATATTTAGTTGAAAGGTTTAGTCGACACATTTTTTAAAACACCTCTCTGTACACAGAAACGTAATTTCAATGATTTTAATGACACGGAAATAGAGGATAATTATAGCATATATAGATAAAATAATGGAAAATAATTTGTTTAAATATTATTAGTTTCAAAATTCTCTCAGAATTATAATTCAAGATTAATTCTTCTCTGTCGCTGCATAAAGTTTCGCCTTTCTAAATAATGAATTATATATATATATATATATATATATATATATATATATATATATATATATATATATATATATAATAACTAATAATATAAATTATAATGTGAATTTTTCCTGCTGGACATCAAACAGTCAACCCCTATATTTTAGGAACTTTTGCATTTCAAATGAAGCAAATATTAACTTTTTATATAATATTTATAATAAAAATATGTTTTTATATTTACAATAAAAATATTAATATCTACTACAATAAGATATAAAATATGTTCCATTAATTTACGTAACAAGTAAACGTAACAGTAACATTTATTATGTACATTTTTAATATTTTTTATTGTGATAAATATTTTTGATAAATTGCTTAGGTGTCAGTTCATTGACAGAAGAGTTAAAGAGATAATAAATTTTTATCAATTAATCACGATTAATAATCTCAGATGAATATATAGCTTGCGAAAAAGCCTCGCAGTTTTTAATCGCGAGAAAAACTATTATTGTTTTGGAATTTCAAACAAAAAAGAATTAATAACTTTATAAAAAAAATTCCAAACAAAGAGATAAATTCTGACAAAAAATTCGACACATTTTAAATATTTAAAGTTGCGTTGGGTAACCAGATACTCGTTTGGTGGCAGAAGGGTTATAGGAACAACACAATTTTATATTGAATAATCTCCGAGAAACTTTATTTGTGATGAAAAATCCTCAATTTTCAATCGCGAGAAACAATTATTGCATTTGAAACAAAAATAGACAAACAAATTTGCAAAGTAAATAAAAATAAATTCTAAATAAAAGAGGTAAAATTTTAATACATTTTTAACATTTAAACTCTTTTATTAACAGAAGAATTAAGAATACAACAAAATTAATTAATTAATTTTATTTCTTTATTAATTTATTAATTATTAATTTATTAATTTATTAATTTTATCAATTAATCGCGATCTTTAAGAAGCTTTTTGTGCGGAAAAACTCTCATTTTTAATCGGGATGAGAAACTTATTATTGCTTCGGCATTTGGAACAAAAATAAATAAATAAATAAATGAATAAATTTACAAAGAAAAAAAACAAAAATAAAAGATAAATTTATAAATTGGTTGAAAAAATCTGCTCGTACATTAAAAAGATAGCGTGCACCGAATTATCTCTCGTTAAAATAGAATGGTTAAAGGGTTATCGGCAAAAAAGAACGACAAAGTAGTAAGTCGCATCTCTCGAAATTGAAACACATTGAAAGATATATTTACATTGACAGATGCGACGTCTGCCTCTCTGTCTTCGTCTCTTTTTAAGGCAACGATCCAACAATAATAAATTGTCCTGCGCGTTTAACGACCACTGGCGCTCTTATAAAAACGAGAGAAAAAGAAGAAGAGTGCAATTAAGCTAAAAGTGCAGTGTCATCTCTCGTATATAAAGACCAGTGTTTGCTGTTATTTAAATAAAATTATACAGATGATCATCTAGATAAAATTATTGGCGTATATTATCTTTATATAAAAATAATAAAAATATATATTATCTATATTCTGCATCTTGGATGAAAAAAATATTGTCTTCACGAAATTATCTACATAGAATAATGTTCAGATAATTTGATTTAAAGTCATAGCTCATAAAAACTACTTAATTAGTAGAATTTAAACAATAAACGATAAAAACTTATAAATAAAACATTTTTTTCATAGCTGTGTTTACATAAGCGATTTTAAAAATATTATCTAGGAGTTATCTAGATAAATCGCCATATAATTTTATTTTTTATCTATATACTGAAAAATAAATTTGTCATGTTGACTAAATTTTCAACTAAATATTGTATTAATTGAATGTATAAAAATATTTAAATTAAATATAAATCGAAATATTTGAATTAAATAAAACATTAAATTTAACAAAACGTATATATTTGACTTAAATACTAATACATGTTGAATTAACAAAATAATAATTTAGTCGAGAGGTTTAATCAAGCTGACAAGTTTTTTTCAATATAGATATATTTAAAACAAAATCATCTTATCTAACAAGGGAACATTTTCAAGTGTAAATAATCGATTTTGATGAAACTTGACAGGTGTGTATAGAGGGGTCAAAACTAACAATAAGTTTGACGTATTTTTTTGCCCAAACTTACTTTCTTGGCCGCTAGAGGGCGCTGAACTTGTAATGAATATATTAATCAATACGCGTTAAATGCTTCCTAAAAAAAACTAAAAGTGTATATGTATGTGTGCGTGTGTGTGAATTTACATATTTTTCATCTCATCTTTATCTAGCTAATTTTGCAATCTAAGCGCAAAAGCGGAGACACACCATAAGCAGACAAGGTCGCGGAATAAACGTAAAACGTGAAAGTGACCTCGTCAAGTGCGCTAATTATCGCGATGAAAGAGAGGAGGTGGGCGTGTTTTACACACAGGCAGGAGTGAAATTACATTCATATGTATCTTCCCATTGTGCGGAGAAGTTGAATAAACGCACCGCTTATGCGTCCGTCCGGAGGTTGATGCGTCAGCCTGGAGTTTCCGCATTAATTGATAGCAATTTCTACGTCTTTCCAGCCAGTGTATATTTCAATCGAATTGATCGATTTAACCTTACTAAATGCATCGATTTAACCTTTCGTTACGTATATACTGTCACAATTTAATTTGCACGTGTGATTCGATAGATTAGAATTGAATTTCTTAAATGGTAATAACAATTCATATCACTATATTTATATTTTTAATTAATTATATTATTTGAAATAAATAAATCATAAGTCGCAGAGAAGTCGTATATAAAATATTGAACAAATCTGCATTCATATAACCATTTTATTCTTCTGCTACAAAATATCGCAAAATGATCTTCTGTTATATATTTCTGATTCAGAGATAATTGTGCGTAATAACAATACAATGTCAAAATAACAATTTTATGGAGATAAATTGATATAATTATTAATATTAAACTGTAAAAAGTACAAAGCAAGAATTTAATATCAACAATTTAAAATTATATATAGTTTTTGTAATAAAAATAAAGCTAATAATATTCATTCACGTTTGTTTTGAAATAAAATACATGGATATGAAATGCAAACATAAAATATTAATTTCAGTTACTTAAACACAACTCTCGTACATCTATATCATATCATCGTGTTATTACATACTAAAATACATTGAAAATATAGTGATAGGAGAATTTAAAAATATTTTATTGTATACACATATCGTGAAAAGATAGAAAATAAAACCATATTATATCGTGGAATTTCTATTTCGTGTTTATACGACAAAAAATATTGATTTTAAAAAATCATAAAAAAACAGAGAGATGATTCAAAAATATTTCTCGAGAGAATCCTTCAGCTTATGCGGATCCACGTTAGGCCCGTGTCTTTCGACGACCTTGCCCTCTTTGTCGACGATAAACTTGGTGAAGTTCCACTTGATGAAGTTGCCGAGTAGGCCACCCTGCTCTTTTTTCAGATACGACCAGAGAGGATGCGTTTTATCTCCGTTCACGTCAATTTTCTCGAACAAGTCGAATTTCACCTGCGAAAGATGTATGAAAATTTAGAAGTTTATTTATTAAAGAATTAGTATTAATATTAATATTAATAATTATTTATTTATATTATATTATAATATTAATAATTATTTATTTATATTATTATTTCAATATTAATATTATTTTTATTTTAATATTTTAAAATATTATTGAACATATAGAAATATTTAAATTAAATATAACATTAAATCTCTAACAAAACGTATATTTGACTTTACATGTTCAATTAACAAAATAATAATTTAGTTGAAAGGTTTAGACAAGTTAACCATTTTTTTTCAGTGTACAAATATAAGGGTTCATCCCTTAGAATTATTTTTGTGCAACTAAAAATTTCTAAATTCATCTACTTATCCCCTCTACATGTGAAATTTCATAAAAATCGGAATTTTCGAGTTGGTGGTCCCTAAATATAATAATCAATATAATAAATTAAATAATCAAATATATCCGCGAAAAAATAAAATAAAAAGGTTAAATGGACTTACTTTATGATGATCGGCGAAGCTGCAAATATCCTCGGCGGTCCCCGGTTCTTGTCCATTAAATTGATTACATGGAAAGGCCAGAATTCGCAATCCTGCGTAGAATAAAGCAAGGATATTCGTACACAGTAGAAAAATGTGTTTTCTTGTTAAAAACGGTCCCCGTTCAAATTTTTGTGTTAAATATTTAACACATCATGTGTTATAATTTAACATATTACTGTTTTGTTAATTGTTAAATTATTAAAACAACTGGCAAAAAAATGTAAAAATAACACAATCTAGTATTTTTAATTTTACACAATATGTTCTGCTTTATTAGTGACAAGATTTATCTGTTAAAATTTACAGAAAAAAATGTTTATTTTCTATTTTATAATATAAGCGGGGATGATAAAATAAAAAATTAACACATTTTTTGTTAATTTTTATATTAAAAGTATGTTAATTTTCCACAAAATTTATTTTCAATTATTTGAAGCTTTGCATTTATTTTGTGTTAAAATATTAACACAATATGTCTCCATTTTATGTTAAATTAACACAAAAATTTCTGTGGGCCGTTTGGGACATGTGATATCTCTAAAATTGTTGGTATCTGTCAAATTTAACAGAGATTCTTCAACTGTGTACAGTTTGTTATATACATAGGCACTTTTTTCCGTGACTTTCGCAATATCGCGGGGATTATACCTTTGGATTCGGCGTACTCGTCGTACAATTCGTTGAGCTCCTTGTAATTCGTAGCTGTAAGGCCGCATTTCGAAGCGACGTTTACGATCAGACACACGTGACCTTCGTATCTGGATGCGAACAGATGTTTTATTATACAATATCGACGATATATACATACACGATCGGATTTTGTGCTTACTTGGACAGAGGAACCTCCTCTCCTCGGATGGAGTTGGCCGTGAAATCGTAGATCGACGTGGCCGATTTGTAATCCTTGTTTCCGCTCATCGTTGCTACAACTGCAAATCGTCGGAGTTTCATCTTTCTTATTTTAAATGTATTCTTTTATTTTCAGTAAACTATATAAAAATAGCACTCCGAATTTATGATTTTTTGGACTGGATGTTCGCGGTGTTGAAAAAAAGGATAAAATATAAGGAAATTTATTAGTGAAAAAATTAGTCTTAATAAACATGGATCCGTAAATAAATTGTTTTTCAAATATTTTTATTTTTATTTACAGTTTTTATTTTTTGCTTTTATTTTTACTATATGATTTTTTTATTGTTACTATAGAATTTATGCAAAAAAATAACAGCTTATATGAAGAAATATTCATGTGAATATTAAATTATTTTTACTACATAATTTTTTTATTGTTACTATATAATTTATGCAAAAAAATAACAGCCGATATGAAGAAATATTCATGTGAATAAAAAATTAAATTATGTAGGATATTGCAAATATTTCAAAATGACTCGTTTGCGAATCCAATATTTATTAAGACTTTTTAACTTATTTCAAGGCATACTAAATCCCGTTAAAATATTTTACCTTTCTTTAACACCCTGTATAATAATATCAACCCTTCTGTCAATAATTTAAATGTCAAATAAAATATATAACGAGAAAGAATGTTCGATGTCCAGCATCTGCTATAAAAATTGTTTTATTGTTAGTTTCGTCCGACGAAAAAAGATGAAAAATTCTGCACTGACAGAAGAATTAAAACGTCAAAATTGTTGCGTCCAATGAATGTTCTATTCTGATTAGATTCTGGAATTGTGTATTAAAAGAGTCGCACGTTTATTTGACAAAACAACATATTATATTTTTAACATGCATGTATAACAATCGCCTTCGAAATAAATCGCAATTATATATTTTCACGCAGGAGGAGGAAAAAAATTCGACGAAGTTATTTCCTAAATAAATAAATAATTGAGATATTTTACGCTCATTTAATTAACAATTACGAGTCATTTTGACTGCGATTGACATTATTTAATAATCGGCGGATTAATGTTTTATTTATTAATACTTGGTGAGAAAAAAAACGGGGGGAGATAATTCTTAAATTACGTGCCTGCGAAATTTCGGACTAGGAGCGTAAATCCGGGTAGTATGAATTTTATAATGCTCATTTCCGGTTGGTGTACGTTTCCGCTTTCCTGAAACTGCTGATATAATATTGTACACTGAAAAAAAAATTGTTAACTTGACTAAACCTTTCAACTAAATATTATTTTGTTAATTGAACGTATAAAAATATTTAAATTAAATATATATATTTAATATATAAAATATTTAAATTAAATATGCAAAACGTATATTTAACTTAAATACTAATATATGTTGATTTATTATAACAAAATAGTAATTTAGTTGATAAGTTCAGTCGAGCTAACAAATTTTTTTTCAGTGTAGAGTGAATTCTACGAAATTTTTTTTCGCGCGAAAGTAATGTAAAATATTCAACAGCCCTATTTCACTTTTTTCCTCATTGTGACGTTTACGCGAACTAAATGACTATTTATTAATTTTCTCTGTCCCAACACTGAATTCATTGAAAAATGATTTTAGTAATAAATAGCGTGGACTATTTTGCAAGATGTCAAAAGATGTATATAATTGACTTGTTATTGATACGTCATTCATAGAAACAATGACGTCAATTTTTTAGAATGTTTAAGGGAAAAAAACATTTTAATTATATCACGATAAAAAAATATAAAGGGAATATACATGATAAAAGAGAGAGAGAAAGAGAGAATTGCGAATAATTCAAAACATTGCAGTCCTCTGTTTTTTTTATATTTTAATATTTTATTTTGTAATATTTTCATAAGATTTATAAATCGGTAAAGAGGATATATTAAATTTGCTCAATGATCTTCGTTTGACAAATAAATCGAATGATTTATGACCCGATAATTTTTAAATGGAAAATCATATCACGGCAATTGAGCGATCGATTCATTCGATTCTAGAAACGTATAAATAATAATCGAATAGTAAAACGTTCAGTCACGCGAATTGTGAATGAAAAGTGATGACTGTGCGATTCCGTTGTATGCAAAATAAGATACAAAAGGCTAAATTGACGCGACAGAATATTGAATATCGGAGATCCCCGATTTGTCATCCAATCAATTTGCATGGGAAAATTCTTATTATACTTATTATATACATATATTATATATATTCTATAAATTTTTCAATGAGTTTTTAAGAAAATATTGTTTAAAAATATTATTAATAAAATAAAATAAAATAATATATATATATATATACATATATATACATATATATATATATATATAATATATATTTTAAAAATATTTCCTTATATTTAATGCTCTAATATGATATATAAATACATATTTATATATACTAAACATTGTATGTAATTGAGAGATGTTTTCTCTTTTTCGTCTAATATAATGAAGTATAGAGTAAATATTAAAGGAAGAATACGATAATAATCAACAAAAGAAAGATATACACCTACTTTTCATCAAATAAATTTACTGTTCTTTATTGACACTGATATAAACTTGATCTCTTAGCTCATTTACTCAGAAATATCTATAGTTTGTGCATTCGCTGCTAATTTATATACTAAATCAACTCGGAATCAAGAATTCTTCAAGTTTTTTATCAGTGATTTTCTTTTATCTCTGTTGTAAAATGTAAATATTAACAGTGATAACAGTAAAGTATTTTTTTCACGATATCAAATTATTCTCTCTATATATATTTGTAAGTTTCTGTTAATCTATTCATTTTTTCATTTTTTTAATTGTGATCTTTACTATACAATACTTTATTTTTGTAATTTTTTAAGAGACTAATTTGTCAGATTTTAATTTTTGTTTGTTTTTAATAAAGATTATTTATTAAAATGTTTGACTGATATTAAAATTATAATATAATCTGAATGCTGCACTCTTTAGTAAATATTTTCATAATATTTAATAAATATTTGCGAAAGTAAAATTTTATTTCAAATATTTAGCTAAGGATCGAAATAAAATAACATGTTTGGTGTATCTTTATTATAATTAAAAAGAGATTGGAAGTGTCTGCTTATTTATTGTTTGTTCTAATTGTAAGCGATACTTTTCCATCGCATAGGTAATAAAATCGCTCGATTAACCCTTCTGTCAACGCATAATTTTTTAAATTAATTTTTAAAAAATTAGTTTTTTGAAAGATGAGATGCTAACTTCACAGAGATTAATTTTTTTAAACTGCATATTTTTGACACATGACACTGCGACCATTTTAAATTTTTATACAATTTTTTATTTATTTTTTTAAATAGCTGATATATAGGCATCAGACATTTTTTTCATTATATTTAGGAAGCTTTTGAATGCAAAGACTTTATATTTTGTTTGTTTAGGCGAGAAAAAAATCCGAGACATTTTTTGACATTTCAAGAATTCCGAGACATTTTTGACATTTCAAGAATTCCCAGACATTTTTTGACGTTTCAAGAATTCCCAGACATTTTTTGACATTTCAACAATTCCCAGACATTTTTTGACATTTCAAGAATTTCCAGACATTTTTTGACATTTCAAGAATTCCCAGACATTTTTTGACATTTCAAGTCGTCTTGGGTACCCGTCCATTGACAGAAGGATTAACACACACGACGGCTGTATTCTTCTCAATGAACTCACGATTCCGTGAGTTTCTACGTCGAGAATTCTGCAATCGATAGCCATCTATCGTGCGCCGGTCGTAACCTTACGTAGGTAAACTTTACAGAGCTCCGCGATCAGCTGATCGAGCGCTCTCCCCTTCTACGAAGACGTAACTGCGAAATACTTTTTTTCAACGTTTCGAAACGCATTTACAGCGTCATTAAAATAGGAAAATCAAGAAGAGGGCGGAGATACGTGTTTATGTTTCTCGTATCAAATGAAGGCAGTAAAAAGCGAGATGAATCCTATATTACGTACATCTAAAAATTGAATCGAGGTGTATATTTCAGATTTTACGATCTCTTTATTATAATAATTCGTGTGAAATAATCGGGTTCTCAATGCGCGCTTAATCGCTTCCAACTCACCGAATGTGCTCGATTAAATGCAGAAAAACTGTAGAGGAAATCCACACGATCCGCACACTAGCAATTGTCGTCCCGCACTGTCGCAAGTCATCCCAACAAAGCGATATGGCGTTAGCGCGCATGCGCAGTGATTTTCTAATGTTTATCTCCGGATCGAAACTTGAAACGTTGGGCGAAATGATGTAATTCTAAAGCGTTATGATTTTTTTCTCTTTTAGAATTTTTTATGAATTATGTTATAATTTATAATTGTGTATATATTATATAATTATATTATAATTATTGTATAATGTAATTATATAATTATATTTTATAATTTAATTATAATTCTATATTTTATATTTTTATTATAATTATTTATATTTAATATTTTATATAACTATAATTATATTATAAAATATAATTTGTGTGTAAAGAAATTTATCTTTTTTTTTTTTACCTATTACATACAAATATTTCGCAACATTAATTTTATGACGAATTTCCTGATGAATTTTGACGAAGGAAAAATGGATAAAAAAAATGTTATTTATAAGAAAATATCTTCAATTTTTAAATATTTTTAATGTTCCTTTTTTGTTTGATTTAAAAACTGAAATTAAAATTTTATTAAAATAAATTTTTAATTAAGACACTTTGCATATGTATATTATTAATATAAATCTGAAATTTGAAATAAAAAAAGTGATATAAAATTGCTCATTTCTTTAAATATTGTATGCATTTTTTAAATAGTTTTAAGAATTATATTTATTAATTAAACACATTTTAATATTATAAAAAAGAACATAATTTTTAATTTCTTCGTGATCTCTTTTTTTTAGCACATTGGTACCCTGGAAGGTATTCAGACACGAATTGAATCAAGTGCATCCCATCAGTTCGGGTTTGCAAGCGATGGCACTGAAATCCACGATAGATTTGACGTGCAACGATTACATCTCCAACTTTGAATTCGACGTATTTACAAGGTAAATATAAATATGCAGGGTGTCCCATTTTAATGTCCCACCCTAAATAACTTTTTTAAGATGGTGCCATTAGTTTGACCTTGAATAGTTGCTTGAAGGTCACGTGAAAAGGCCACCTTCAATTTCTTAAATAGAACCACCTATTTTTCATTGCATATTCTTATAACTTATCTCAAGAGCTTTCCAAAACCCTATAATAAAGTATATTTTTTCATTAAGTATCCAGATAGCAAACTGACGTCATTAAACGCCAAAAAAACGTCATTCGACGTCAAAATAACGTCATTTTCACGTTTAATGACGTCAGTTTGCTACTGAAAATGACGTTATTTTGACGTCGAATGACGTTTTTTGACGTTTAATGACGTCAGTTTGCTACTTGGGTACTTTTTGAATTATTAAGGTTTAAAGTTAAAAATTTTTTCACATGTAAAATGTAAAATATCTTGTAATGTAAAATGTTCCTTTTGAAACCGTACAACTTCTGTCTGAAACATTTTCTTTTACAATCAAAAATTAAAAAAAACTTATGTGAGATGAGACACTTTGTATACATACGCATGTACCTTATCGATTATTTTCTCGGAATCAGTTCTCATGCGGAGATCCTTTTCCAGGCTGTTTCAACCGTGGTCGACCCTCCTACGCAACTGGAAGATTCTGGCTGTGACGCACCCTGGCTACGTGGCCTTCCTCACCTACGACGAGGTGAAGGCGCGTTTGCAGAAATACTGCATTACCAAGCCCGGGAGCTATGTCTTTCGATTAAGTTGCACTAGGCTGGGACAGTGGGCAATCGGTTACGTCACGTCTGACGGTGATATCCTTCAAACTATACCCCACAACAAAAGCCTTTGCCAGGCGTTGTTGGACGGCTACCGGGAAGGCTTGTGAGTACAGCCTGTGTCATTTAAATGAGCCCGCCTGATCAGTTTTATCAGCCGATCTTTGGGTTCACGAGCCTAAAAAGGTCTCTGGGATGATGTTTCAAAGAACAACTTGATTTCCAGCTACTTATATCCGGACGGCCGAAATATCAACCCGGACTTGACTTGGGCGGTGCAACCAACGCCGGAGGAGCATATAAAAGTTACAGCGGAGCAGTATGAGTTGTACTGCGAGATGGGTAGCACCTTCCAGCTCTGCAAGATCTGCGCCGAACACGACAAGGACGTGAGGATAGAACCTTGCGGCCATCTTCTCTGTACTCCATGTCTTACAGCTTGGCAGGTAGTAGTATATAATCTCGCATCATCGTTTCGTAGCACTTCTGTAATAATTTAATACTGAGACTTCTGGCTCCTCGATCATGTTGGAATTGCGCAGGGTTACTTGTAACGAAGTTCCATTTACAGTTAAATTTTGTTGGTAACTATAATTTCGTTCCTTTTTCTGCATCTATAACTATACCTTAACTTATTATTAGTTACATTTTTTTTTGTAATTATAATAACTAATTTAATAGGTTGAGAAAGTTAATTTGCAAAAGTTTCTGGTTACAGTTACAGGTTTTTTCACTGAAAAAATAATTAGTTACAGTCTGTGTTATCAACTCTAAAAAATAACATGATACAGTTATTATAACGTAAAAAGTAACGAATCGTTACTTTTTTGCAACTATATTATATTTTAAATATAATAATCTTATGTATTTCAAGCTTTACTAAATTATATATTACTTACTTGGTTATGTGTTACATTATTTTATATGCAATAAATAACAACTGTTTTAAATATAAAATAAAAATAGATTAAATATATTAAATTAATAATTTATAATAAATTAACTTCTTCTAACACAATGATTAATATTATTTACTTAGAATAAAAATTATGGGATTCAGATTTTTCAGTTAAAAATTTATAAAATTTCAGACAATCGTAACTTTCCGAAAAATTGTTAGCCCTAAGTTTTAAATAAACTAACTATTAAATTAATTACTAGTTACCAAAAAATGTAAGTAAAATTAAGTTACAATTATAGATGCAAAAATATGTAACTGTAACTTCGTTACAAGTAATAAGTTACTTCTCAATCCTGGAATTGTGACGTCAGAAGCGAGAAAGCATACGCGAAAAATTCTTAGGCGAGGATCCAGGACTTAAATTTTATAGTCGAATTTGTATTCCCATTCAATTTTTTCTTCAAATTAATCACGGGGAAATTAAATCTTTTGAATTAGGTACTTCTAATTGGGGATGGACTGAAAATTTAATATATATTTATTTAAAACTCTGAATAAGAAATAATATTTCATATATTTTACTTTGAACCCTCGTCCAGATTTGAGTCAACTTAAATTATTATAGTTTCTTTTTTTCGAAGAGAAAGAACAAAATTGAACTTACTTGTGGGACACTTTAACCCATCACTACTTTAACCTATCACTACTTCTAATTCTTTTATGCGGAAATTATATAACAAAGAGACAGGGAGAGAGAGAGAGAGAGTGAACGGTAGATGTATACGAAGCTAATGAACACTTGATTGACTGCTTGCAGGATTCTGAGGGACAGGGTTGTCCGTTTTGCCGAGCCGAGATTAAGGGTACCGAGCAGATCGTCGTGGATCCGTTCGACCCACGAAGAACGCATCGACCTGGGGCGCAATCGGCCACCGCCAGCAATGCATCGACTCCCACGCGGGATCTCGACCCCGACACCGAGGTATCCGACTAGGAATAGCATCTACCTTCATTATTAAATGTGTTCTATGTATAACATCGCTCCCATTCTCGAGAATGCCTCATACATTTCGCACGAGAGCTCGCAAGATACATCGTAATACACGTGTCATTTCGAATTAGAATTTATTATCGTCATGACTTGTAACATATGCCGTGTATATCTCTCGTGGCAGCAAGTAGGTAGTACGCAGTACTAGTATAGCTTCAGGCATCTGCACGATATCGGAGAAGTTACTTATACGTTGATGACGATGACGATGAGCCCGGGACCAAATGAGGGACCAAATTGCGCAGGAACGTGTCTACAGTGTTCTATAGAGTTTGTTGTCCTCTCTCTTTTTTCTTTTTTTTTTTTACATGTTCGTAAGACATACAGAGAGCGATCAGCCTTATCTGTCACTAACACAAGTTTTTATTTAAAAAATTTTTTTAATTTTTAATTTTTTTTAATTTTAGTTCGCCGCATATAATTTACAAATGCCATCGATTACGCGAGGGTCTCAGGTAAGACACACGCTTTTCTCACATCTCATTTGAAGCCACGAGGCCCATTTTTTTACCGCTATACATTCATTATGACTGCTACATAACTTCCGAGCAATTATCTTAGATTAATATCCGATACAGAGATTTGATAAGGAATTATCTCGGGGCAACGAAAATTTGGATCGTGCTTGTATAATGTATCAGGCGGAGATATGTATTAGGCATAATATACAGGGTGTCCCAAAAGTTCTGCAATAATTAAATATCTGCAATAAAATAAAACGAAAGCTTTTTCAGAAAAATATTTCAAATAAAAGTTGTAGAGCTTTAAATGGCGTGTTAAATAGTAATGTTAATGTGTCCATAAATTATTTAATGCGTCATTTAAAAGCTCTACAACTTTTATTTGAAACATTTTTCTCAAAAAGCCTTTGTTTTCAAGATATTTGACTGTTGCAGGACTTTTGGGACACCCTATATATATATATATATATATATATATATATATATATATATATATGTTGTATAGTATGGGTTCTCGCATCTCTCCAGCCACAAAGTGGGTTCATTACATTACATTACATTCACTTACTGACATCGCAAAAATCTTTTTTGGCTCACGAGATTCATAATGCATGTGCATATGCGTTTATAAAAGTGCTCTCTTTTTTTTCTTTTTTTTTTTTCTTAAGTATGTGCATACGGAAGAATGTTGGTGCCTGAGAATATTTGTATATATTATTTGTGCATACGACTGTATGTGATTCATAGATAATATGGAATAGAGCGTTTGTGGCTTATATTTAAATTAATATATATATATATATATGAAGCACAAAGAAAGAGAAAGAAAATCCTACGATTCTATGCAGCATTTGTAATTTTCGCCTAAGATTTGAAGAAAATTTTCCTACAATCTGTACAAATATTTTAGATACTATGCATCAGTAATTGTGCGCGCGTAATTGATGGAATAATTATTATCACCAATTTGCATATCGAATCGTTCACGTAATTTCTCTCATATGATTGTGCAATGATCGAGATCTATTCTACTTCAAAACATTTGCTATCGCACTTACATATTTCTTCAAGTATTGCGACCCAGATGTCAAATGATGTCATTAGACGTCAAATGACGTCATCAGTTGTCAAATGAAGTCATCAGATGTCAAATGACGTCATCAGATGTCAAATAAAGTCATCAGATGTCAAATAAAGTTATAATATGTCAAAAGGACTATCAGATGTCAAATGATGTCATTTTGACGTTTAATGATGTCAGTTTGCTATCTGGGGAATAATTGTTTCATCAGAGAGTGACGTTTATCGAAAGGAAAAGAAAGGAATACACATATAAAAACGTTCCGTATTATTGTATAAGATTCTTAAATATAGCACTTTAAGCGTTCATGATAAATAAGAGGAATATATTATATGTGACGAGATCGAGTAATGAAACTGAACTCGAGAAAGGAGTTTTCACCATCGTTTATGTATTCGATTTCGAATGTATTGTGTACCTGTAGACACGAATGTAACGTCACGTTGATACACCGTAGTTTCCAGCGTTAATTATTTTCTTAACATTAAAATATTAATTTATTATTTATTCCGCATAAAACTCTCTTGTATCGAAAGAAGAAAAAAAAGGATAAAGTTCAGAGAGTTTTCGATGCTGCTGCGGTCCACTATTATTATTATTATGATTATTATGATTATTATGATTATTATTATTATTATTATTATTATACGTCACAGACGCGAGAGACACTAATTAATAAGGACACTCTTTCTTTATACGCGTTGTATATAATGCATGCGATCAAAAAAATCCGAGTAAGCAATCTTGATAGAAAAAGCACGATTCCATATCATAATTTAAAAATAATTCCCTTATTTTGCTCTCGGATCGTTCAATTAGCTTAATTAGCGATTTAACGAAGAGGGAAGCGCTCTCGCCCTCGATTGCGTACGAGCAATCCTGACGAATTTTTTTGTCGCATAGAAAAAAAACGTAAACACTCTATAAGCGTCTACGATCGCCGAAGAGTAAGTCTTATTATTCATTGTAAAATACTAGGGACTTGAGAATAATTTTTTTTTTACAATAAAAATGGTATTATATCATTATTATACACATTCTCGAGTTACTTTTGTGCACATTGTTGCGTGTCTTGCGTACGCACGAAATATATATATATACATATATAATATCCTCCTCTCGCTGGATCTGCTCCTGCACAGGAGCAGGGAGAATTTTTTTTAATTATTATAATCGTTCGCATGATCGTTTTACTTTTTATTTCATAACGTTATTCTCTCTTCGCACATATACTGGGGTCACATTGCTCTCTACCCGCTGCATGATCCAAAAACTAATCGGTAATATAAATGTCCTGGTCCTGGAAGAAGGGATATAGCACAAAAGTCGCAGGTAAGTGGCAGCAACAACATGCATTATGATCGTCTGTTTTTTTTTACGCTTTTACGCTTTGTAATTATACGCTCATCATTTATTTTAATTAAATCGGTAATTGATAATTCGATTTGGGCGAATATCAACATCACACTTTTCACTTCATCATTCATGAAGGATGTGGCAGAATTTTGTTCTCTCTTCGCAGACAAGCAATTTCTTGTCATTAAAGTATGAAATATTTTTTTCATTTAGTTTGTTTCGAAATCATTTTTATATTACTTAAATTAATAATTGTAGAATTTAACAAAAAATAATTGTTTTCTTAGATAAAATGAAAGATGATTATTTTTCGTTTTCTTATACAGTTTTTTAATGCAATTTCGGCTTTTAAATTTCCCTATCATGTCACCACTTTGAGAAACTTCCAATTAAATTTTCCCGGTCTAATAAATTACACATTTAATCATGAATATTTTGTCAGTCATAATTTACACAAAAGTTTCGAGAGGCAGTAGATATAATTTATGACTTTATTCAAATGCAAAAAGTCTTTGTTAAAGAATACCCACTTTTATTTACCGGAAAAATTGAATAAAATTAATTATCAGTTTGGTGTGATCGCGATTATTATGCTTGTTATCTCATAATTTTTCATAAATATGTGAATTTATTTAGAACAAAATAATCTAACTAATATATATTGTATATATATGCATTAATTATATATATATATATATATATATATATATATATATATATATTGTATAGTATTATAAATGTATATAACTATAGTAAGTACTATAAAATAAATGATAAAATAATAGAAATAACATTATAGAAAAAATATTTTAAACACAATCGGTGATTATGAAAATACTTTATAAACGCGAGATTATACCCTTGTCATTTATTTTATTCATGAATTCTATTTCAAATCCTATTTTTTCTCTCTGACGCGATTATTCCGTCTTATAACATACAGAATAAACTACAATTTTTTTATTATTTTGCGACAGTGGAAAGATCTAAATTTCGTTGCCTCGAGTTAATAAATAATTTTACTCCAAAAAACTTATCATATTATTCATATCAAATCAAAAATATAAATCGCTCCATATTTCATGATAGAAATAATTAGGATTTTCGTGGATTTTTACACACGATTCGGCCTTTTTGCAAGTGTAAAAAAAAAGCCAAAAAAACGTAAGTATGCTCTTCGCTGCCGGACGGACTTCTGGAAGCGTTAACCCGTTCTTCTTCCCTCGCCGGGTGTTTTAGGACATAATGGAGCTGTGCAACGGCAACTGCGGTCTGATGGTGTGCGACGACTCGGACGACGAGGAGGATTCCACCAGCCCGACGAATTCGCCGGTGCCGCCGCGGAGAATCGTCCCGAGTCCGCCGTTGCCTCCTAGGAGACCCTCGCCGTCGCCCACGCCGAACAACCACCTCAGGAACGGGCGCCACCTGACGGTGCCGAAGGAGAACGCTCCGCCGCCGCCGTCCTCCGTCACCGTGATATTGAATTACACCGACAACACGCAACAAAATAACAAAGGTGAGACAGAAGAACAGTTTATAAGAACTTTTCTATTTTCAACTTGATTATTCATAGGGGAAACGATTATGGTTGCCTATAAAAAATTTACAAATGAACTCGTGGCACTTTTATATCGCGTCTTGCGACGATTCAATATTTTGTGTTCTTACAAACACTTTATAAATGGAAAAAAGTTTACTACTGAGAGAATTTTCAATTTATAATTATATAATAATTCGAGACTCTAAATTATAAATATTAATATGTTATATAGCATATAAAAATATGTAATGTTTTTTATAATATATTATATATTTTATATATTATTTATATTATTTTATATTCTTTTATAATTTATTATACTGCATTATATAATGTACAAGTTTTCATTTAGACGCTAATTTCTTAATTCTTCTCTCTAAGAATTTTAGTTTTGATGTAAAACATTTTTTTTTACTAATCATTAATCGATCTTATAGTAGCATTATAAACATTTTTCCATTTAATAAATTTTGGAGTATTTGGAATATTTCTCCGACGAAGTGCTTCAGTAATTATTTACAGAAGAGGAGAGAGAGAAACCTAATGAATTTCAACCCAATAATATAATAATAAATAAAAATAATAAAATAAAAGACTATATAATATATACTATAACACACTATATAATAAAATAAAATAATAATAAATATCGCAATACATCGACTCGTCATACGCAGAGATAAGCGTGCGTTCCGGATGTCCAGGTTGCCAAATTTTCACGGTGCTTGCAGTTAACACGGAGGCGAGGTACGACATGCTGCATCGCGCCTCCTCGCCGTCGCCAGTGCCGCCGATCCCGCCGATCCCGCCGTCGACGGTGGCGGCGGCGGTGACCAGGAACCATCCTCCCGGCGGACGTCGTCCACACGGAAACCACGGGGGCGGAACGCCTCAGCGGCAACCGCAGCCGCCGCCGACCTTGCCGGAGAAGACGTGTCGCGCGAGCGCGACCAGCTCGACGACGATGACCACGACGATTAGTCAAGGACCCAGTAGCAACAACCCCGCCGTGCCGCCAGTACCACCGCCCTTGTCGGCGCCGAGGCCGCCGAAGAGCGGCCAGGGCAAGGAGTCGGCCGGCATCCGTCAGGATCATCACTACGAGAACACCTTCGTCATCTGCGGCCCGAGTCATCAGATGAAGAACCTGGCGGTGAGCAGGGCCGCCGGTCTCAGGGCGCTGATGATGGCGAGGGACGATCCAGGAGGCGGTAACAACGGCAACGGGAACGGTGGTGGTGGTAATGGTGGCGGTGGCAGCGCGATGATCAAGTCCTCGGAGTCGGCGGCGTACGAGAACGTCAACGTCGAGCACATCACGAGACTTACGGCGCTCGGCTTCGCCCAGGACGCCGTCATCAGGGCCCTCGGCATCACCAGGAACGACCTCGAGATGGCGTGTGACATCTTGCACGAGTTCGCCACAAAGTCCTCCTGACCAGGTACAAATCAATGCGTAATGTCTGCTGAGAATGATCCCAAGTAGTAAACTGACGTCATTGAATGGCAAAGTGACGTCATTTTGACGTTCAATGACGCCAATGCGCGATTCTTCACTTTTTTAAATCAATGTATGATTATATATCTAAGCGCCTGTTCGTTGATAGAAGAGTCAATCTGTATTTCAGGCAGCAAGCGTACGTCATTTCAACGTTTCGAATGACGTCACTGAACGTCAGAATGACATCATTGAACGTCAAAATGACATCATTTTGCAGTTCAATGATATTGCTAATGATTTTTTAAATCAATGTATGAATATGACGTCATTTTGACGTTCAATGATGCCAATGCGCGATTCTTCACTTCTTTTATTAATGTATGGATGAACATTTTTCCATTCAATGACGTCATTTTGTCGTTCTATGACGTCATTCGACGTCGAAGTGACGTCTGCTTGCTATCTGGGATATAGATTGACCTTTCCATCAACGAAGGTATCTATACATTGGTGAAAAAATTAAGAATCACGCATTGACAGAAAAGTTAGGCAACGTAATGCGTTAAGACAATTTTCACAACCTTCTCTTATACTTACATATATGTGATTAATCTGATCTCAGGGCCGGACACCGAGGTCTCATGACCGGCCTTACCCGCCAGACGGTACTTTTGACAGGGAACACGCGCAGACTCGTGCAAGTCCCACCTCTGATGCGTTCGCGTACACATCATCATTATCATCATCATCATCATCATCCTCTTCATCATCGGGCGTTCTCGCTGCGTCGACGAGGACTCGACTGGACTGCACCGTCGTTTTGCACTTGAAGACAAAGGGAGAAACACCACTATCAGTCATCTTCGTTGTGGACCCTTCGCGAAATAGGACGGACGAACGACCTTGAAATGTCCTTGGAGATGAAAAGACCGCCGTTCGCGCGACAGAATGTAAATAAATATATAAGCGACGACCGACCAAAGGCGATTTGCGGCTGCCGAAATATTCCTTCATCAAGATAGAGCCATATTTAGCGAGCAGTAGCGATAGTTTAAATATAGTACGTCGTTACATATTTTCCTAATCTAGTACCTCTCACTGGCGTAGTCACTATATATATATATATATATATATATATATATATATATATATATGTATATGTATATATTTCGTTCCTCGATATTACTTAAGGATAAGGATAATTAATTGTACATTAATTCGCAAAGAGAAACTCGCTTCTAACGTTGACGCACCTCGGAGAAGAAGGATCCCTCTCTCGGTCGTCCGTTTTCCACATTTTGTATATTATACAAGCGTATATCTCACGAAAGGAAGAAGAGGAAGAAAACAACGAACCACGCGGTCTGTTATAAATCGCGTCGTTCCGACGTGTTTTCAGAAATTACCACTTGTACGAAGGCAATACGATCCCTTTCACTTATTCGGTTTTTAGATAGTACATAAAATTCTACATCGACTCGCTGGACACCCCTCGTTCACGAGTATATTCCTTCTGTCAAATACATATACAGGGTGTCTCGAAAGTCCTGCAGCAGTCAACAATCTCGAAAACTAAGGCGTTTTGAAGAAAATGTCTCAAATAAAAGAGTCGGACTATAAATAGCATTTTGTTAAGACCATGTAAAATTTGTTTTGACATTTTTTAATGAAAACGTCTGTTTTTGATTAAATATTCTTGTAGCTCTTATCTCGATATCTCGTATTTTTTGATATAATAATCTTACTTTAATGCTTTTATGTATAAAATAATTAGACAATGAATTGTAAAGAAAACATAGTTATTTTTGAGAAAATGTATATTATTTGCAATATTTTTTCTTAAAGACAATTATGCGTTTTTAATACAAATTTATCGGTCTTATTATTCTGTGCAAGTAAGATTTTGAAAAATTCTTAAGATGCATTCAAAAATGAGAATTTTTATTTGCAAATTTCAAAGTGAATTATTATTATTATTTAAAGTCCGACAACTTTATTTGAAACATTTTTTCAAAACACATTTTTCGAGATATTTAAGTATTGTAAGATTTTTGAGATACTCTGTATAATTTTTCATCAATATATGGGTATTCTGACATGATACATTGTGACAATTTTTTTGTAACATCTGGCTGTTCCAACATTTTTATATCTTAGGATGTTTACTTAGAAAGAATACGAAGAGTATATCTTTGTATCGTTTCGAGTGAATGGAGAAAAATTATGACACAGTTTTAGGATTCAAAGCTCTTTCGAGTATCCAGGTACCTAAATTGACAGAAGGGATACATACATGTTGTAACGATAGTAACCGAGACCGAAAGTACGTTTTAGATGAGAAAAATGCCTGGCATCTAATTTTGTAATCCCCCATCTCTCTTTCTCTCTTTCTCTCTCTCTCTCTATGCATATAAACCGTTTTCTCATCAAACTCTAGTAGTTATTATTATGATGTATGTATGTATATCTCTCGCTATTTAATGTACATTACTTAATGTCCTCCGTTACATTAGCGTTGCGTAGTCGGGCACAACAAAACGCAAGAAATAAGAGATATTCCTCGGTGAGGCTAAAAGTGAATAGCAAAAATAACGAGATTCAGGTGTATTTTAAAAGACAAAAAATTGTTGATTTACTCCTATAATTTCTCGGAGAGACTTTGTGATGAGACACACGATGTAGCCTAGTTAGATACCAATTGCACCTTCGTAGAGATCTGCCGACACCTTCTAGAGTCTGAAGTCTCCGCGCAACATTTTTTTTTAAATGTGACGACCGGTCAGAGATCAGCCTATTTTTATCGAATGTGATACTTATGTTCGCAAATACACGGCTTTATACATCGCTTATGCTAAGTATCGGCGTATAGAAGAGAGGATAAAGTCGTCGCGCACGAATATCAAAAGCTTCACAAGGGCTACTTCCGGTGCAAGGTGTGCAAATGAAGCGTTCATCACGTCGTGCATGATTGTAAACTGATAGACTACAAGCAAAAATAATAACAAAATGATCCTTCGGTCGAATGACGAAGAAACGTTCGTCGAAAGTAGGATATACACGTTTATCGGACACGTACATATACATAACGAAACGCGTAGCAACGTGCTTTACATTAATTTATGTCCTTAGATGCTCAACAATGCACCGAACCGTTTTGTCCTGCGAAAGGACGGGCAGATCTGGAAGCTGATTACTACCTCGCGATTATACCAAAGGTATACATGATCCGTGATCGTCCGAATGGTATGTTTCACTCGCTCTTTGAACCTTCTGTCAATGCAATTTTTCCATTCTTTCATAAATACATGGATTTACCATCAAGCATTCCAGGTAGCAAGCATACGTCATTTTGACGTTCAATGATGTTAATTTGCTATTTAAGATATTATTAAAAGATAAATTGTAACGAAAAAATGGAATGTCCTTACAATTCTTTGATTGATCTATCTAATTGATTAATATCCTTTAATAATATCCTAAGTAGCAAATTGACGCCATTTTGACATTATTTTGCTACTTGGGATTTTTTCCCGTTATATTTTAGGTTTTTCGAGTACAAAAGCTCTTTGTATTTTATTTCGAGTGAAGAAAAGCTTACAAGTTCATCGACAGAAGGCTCGATAGGCGTTTGAAACACGTGTACATACATGAAGGAGACGCGGGCGAATCATCGTGTAACATAATTAATACACTTAGATATGATATTTAGAAATTTCTCATTCTCCCGTTTAATTTCTTTCCTTCCCTTTCTGCGAAAGGGAGAAAGATATTATATGCGTTGACGGAACGCAGCGAGAAAAAAAAAAAAAAAAAAAAAACGGATCACTCAGTTTATCCTTTAGAGCAGATTCGAAGCGAAGCGACTATATATTAGTGTTTCGAGGGAGAATCCGAAATAGAGATATAATAGAGATATCCGAGATACACGTCCGAGAGATTTTATTCGCTATTCCTATTTTATGCACCTAAAAAGCGTCAAACCCCGCCACTCCTGGAAGAGACTTTTTCAGCACCCTTCACACACGAATTCGGACTCGCGATCCGCGCGTTCGACGAATTTAGCTGTCCTATTTTTCTACATTGTATATTCTGGTCACTGTGTACTGTATAACGGTCAGGAGAAAGAGAGAGTGTTCGTGGACACCTTCCTCGTAGGTGTCCCCGAGACTGGACGGTGTGTATAATTGGTATGCAATAATGATAAGCGCATAGTAATATAAATCGAGACGAATGAACCGAAACTGACTACACGAAGAATGTAGAGAGACTCCTCCTTCATTTTAATTATTCGCTGTACAAATTATTTTACATACTTCTCGAAATAAAATAACATGTCGTTTATAATTATCTCGCGCACCTCTTATTTTATTGCGCTTGGTCCACCTCTGTCCATTAAAAAATCGAGAAATATCGATTGATTAGCATCTAACTAGAATCGACTTATGATTAACTTTGGCACCAGATAAGGAATCCCTTATTATCAAAACAGGAATATATCTATCATCGCGAATTCATGATATTATTCATCAAAAGCGACTCATAGCTATTTTAAGATCCTTCCCAAGTAGCAAACTGACGTCATTAGACGTCAATAACGTCAGTTCGACGTCTAATGACGTAAGCTTATTACCTGGACTGATTTAAACATCCCAGGTGGCAAGCATATATCATTTTGACGCCGAATGACCTCATTAGACGTCAAAGTGACGTCATTTGCCGTTTAATGACGTCAGTTTGCTACTTGGAATCTTCTATGACGTAAGCTTATTACCTGGACTGATTTAAATATCCCAGGTGACAAGCATATATCATTTTGACGTCGAATGACGTCATTAGACGTCAGAGTGACGTCATTTGCCCTAGAATTACATCGATGACAGCTCCGTCCGCATTCTGTTGTATCTATCCATCTCTTCTTCGCTGACAGAGGGCACCAGGCCGCGAATAGCGTCCAGAAAGTGTCGCAGTTCTACGACAACGCTGTCCTTGACGCCGAGATCCTTGTCGAGTCTCTTCTTCGCTTGATGCCTGGCGAGGACATCGCGTACGGCGTTGAGCCACGCGTTGGAGGAGACGGAGTACAGGTCCGCCCCGGTGACGTGGTCGGGAAGTCGGTCCACCACCTGTTCCAGCAACTCCCGTCCGTCCTCCAATAGCTCGAACTTCCGCGTCTGCGCCTGCAAAACGCCGAGCTTGGACGCGCGATCGGAATGAATGCCGACGTAGAGCATCTTATCGAATCTCCCGGGTCGCAGTAGCGCGGGATCTATGAGATCCGGCCTGTTGGTGGCCCCTATGATGAATATCCCGCCGGACTCCTCGAGGCCGTCCATCTCGGCGAGCAGCTGAGAGACCACCCGGTCCATCACGCCGCCGCTGTCGCCGCTCCTACCGCGATTCGGCGCCAGGGAGTCCAGCTCGTCGAAGAAGACGATGCAGGGGCCACGGAACGCGCTCGCTCGAAAACTGAAACCGGAAGTTTAAGATAACTTCTTTGTTTATTATATGTATAAAATGTTATATACAGGGTATTCCAGAGAAAATTGCTGAAACTAATCAGCTGTCATTTTTTAATGCAGTTATTGAGAAAACAAACATTGTGTCGGAAAGAGGAAAGTCTGCAGTTTTTAATGGATATAAATATCCATTATATATTAGATAATATATATGATTATATATATATAAATATGTACATTAGATATGTTGAAAATATTTATCGTTAGTTTATGCAATTTTATGTGATTATTAACACTTTTTTCATTACTTCTTTCAATAAAATTAACTGGTATACAAACATTTTATATACATTAAAAAAATTGTAGACTTTCCTCTTTTCAACACAATTTTTGTTTTCTCAATAACTGCATGCATTAAAAAATGACAGCTAATTATAGTTTCAGGAATTTCTTATGAGATACCCTGTATGATATATTAAGTAGCAAACTGACGTCATTGAACGTCATAATGACGTATGCTTGCTACTCTGGGAGGTTTATTATATAAAATTGTATTCTCCTTGTAGACGACGTACTTTGTCTCACGTTCTTCTCGCTCTGACCGACATACATGTTCAACACCTCCGGACCCTTGATGGAGAGAAAGTGCAGCTGATACTCCGTCGCTACCGCCTTGGCGAGGAGAGTCTTGCCGGTGCCGGGAGGACCGTACAAGAGCAACCCGGACTGCCCGAATCCGAAGGCATTCAACAGTGGCAATTGGATTCTGCGAATAATTTCGCGCTTCAAGTCCGCCAAACCGCCTATGTCGTCCCAGCGAACCTCTGGTACGCGTGGAACGCCTTTATTATCGGAATACACGGATTGCATGTATTCTGAAAATACATTTACAACTGTACAAAAAGTGTGCAAAGTACAAAAAAGAGAGAAATCTTGTTCTCAGATAGGACCAATATGTCATTTTCGAATAAATTATTATGAAATAACGTATTATGAAACAATCAAAAATTATTATAAAGTAATTTTATCATGTAAAAGTAATTTTATATAATAAAATTACCTTTAAAATTATTTTATATAATAAAATTAACAAATTTTTGAAATTTTGTGACAGTACCCAATACGTTTAATTTATCTTCTAGAATTTAGATGGAATGTTGAATTTTATTATATTTTTATTGCGTAATAATTTTATAATATAAATTAAAATATTAAGTATTAAAAATGTTGAATTAATTAACTTTATAATCAAACTATAAAATCAATTAATTAATTTTTAAAATTATCTTTATAATAAAAATTAATAAAAATGTATTTAATTAATTTTTATTATAAAAAAATTATTACGCAATAAAAAATATATTTGAAAAATACATTTTTACTTAAAAAGTTTTTTTTACAAAGTAATTATACCGTAAGCTCGATCGAAGTCTGCCTGCGTCAAAATGTTAGCATCGCACGATTGATTCCATGATTTATGTCGAAATTTAGCCGCGTGCAACGTCAAAGCCGCCAAATCCGCGAATCTGAAATCCGAGCAAAGACCAGCGACCTTCGATAGATCTGCGGTGGTTGTTAAATCCCTGTCGGCCAGCAACCAGGATAACAGTTCCGCCCGCTTGTCCTGATTCAAATGCTTGACATGAATGGTCTCGATGAATATTCGTTGCAGTTCCGGAGGCAAATCGCTCTCGTCCGAGGCTGCTACGATGATCAGAGAAAATCTTCGACGTTTGTCAGGATACAGTGCGGCGATTTCCGTCGAAAAAGCGGATATGGTCCTCTCGTCCTTTTGGCCCTCCGCGGTCTTGCCAAATTTCTGTGAGCAATAATTAAAATTATTGAAATTATTAATAATTAAAATTATGACAAAAAGCGCGAAATATAATAATAAAATACTAAAATATAATATAATAACATAATAATAAATGTAATAAATATATATAATAAAAATCATAATTAAAAGTAAATATAAATAAATACTTATAAATAAATAATATATATATAAATACTATAAAATAAATAATGAATATATAAATACTTAATAAATAATAAATATATATATATATATATTAATAAAATTTCATGTAACTTCTTTTCCACGCACTTGAATTAAAATTATTGAAATTATTAATAATTAAAATTATGACAGAAAGCGCGAAATATAATAATAATAAAATACTAAAATATAATATAACATAATAATAAATGTAATAAATATATATAATAAAAATCATAATAAAAAAATATAAATATAAATATATAAGTACTTATAAATAAATAATAAATATATAAATACTATAAAACAAATAATGAATATATAAATACATAATAAAATAATAAATATTAATAAAATTTCATGTAACTTCTTCTCCACGCACTTGAATATTACTCAGATACAAAATGCACGGTATGCATTGCTGAGCACTATGCAGCGTTATGCGAAGTTTAGCTTCAGTTTGCGCCGCCGTTAAGGTTTGCACCTCCGCGAAGTCGACACCGACGAAATTCAAGCCCATTTTTCCGGATGCGATTCGAACCAATTCGCGTTTGCCGCAGCCCCGGGGTCCTTTCATGAGAAACACCGGCCTTACATCTATTTGGACACCTGAAATTGTCGAAATAAAAGCATAAAATATTCATTTCCAGAACGATTTGGATATGTATATATTTGGTTGACCTATAAATAAATTCCGTTTTACTTAATAAACTGAATTCTCAGATTACTCGCAATACATTTTAATCTGTTATATATTCTCTATAATTAAGCACAACTTATTCCTATTTATTTTTATTCCCACAGATAGTAATTTATTAATTTATTCCTCAAAGAATTTTAAAGATTTTTGCAAAAGTGTTCTTTCACAAATTTTCCCATTTAATGAATTTTAAAGTGACCTAAACTTAATTATTTATAACTCGAAATATATCTAAATATTATTGATTTCTTAAATGCGTTAATTCTTCTTTACCCTTCTTCAGGAACGGCGTGATACAGGATACTAAATGTTCTAAGGGTTCCGTCCAAGGTGACGGATATCCGATGCTTCTTGAGTCTTTGGGAGAAGTAAAGAAATACTTCCGAGGTATGTAATTGTGAATCCGCGGTTCCTGGATCAGCGTCGACTCTCCACGCACGACGTAACAGCTGTTAACGCTATCGCTGTCCACTTTCAAGGACTTAACTGTGAAATACATCGTGCAAGTGGTCGGCGATCCGGAGGAGTAAAATCGATCCTGAGCGTATTCCCAGGCGTCCATCCTAAATACGTCGTTTACACATAAATATCGAGGCCGCGAAAAATAATTCGCCAGCATCGCATCCACCATTTCGACGGCGCAATCGTACGGATTGCCGATTAAGGATATCCTCGCCTCGCTCGCGAATTCGACCACGTCATTCTCCAATGGCACTAAAAATAAAAATAAAATTTATTAGTTTTTTGTAAATTTTAAAAATTATGGAAAAATTATGCAATTTTTTATATTTTGAAACATAAAAAATTTGTTACATATAATTAATAAATATAAATATATAAATATATAATAAAATATATAATATATAATATATAATATATAATATATAATATATAATATATATAATATAAATATATAAGAAAAAAAATAATACATATAATTAAAATGTATATTATAGGTATATTTAATTTATATATATAATTAATAAATATAAATATAGTTAATAGATATAAATTAATAAATATAAATTAATATATACTTATATATATATATATATATATATATATATATATATAAAATATAAATTTATAATATATAATTAATAAATTATAATTTGTCGTTTGCATTTAAAATACGTGTCTAATAAAAAAAATTAGATACTAACGTATAAAACATGATTCGTCCAACTTTTCGGAGCAAAGGACGTTTTGCAAATTGTGTCGCATCGTTTCAGAAATTAGAATAGTACTTTCATCAATATCGGACGTGAATGCTATCATTAATTTGTATCTCCTCAACGAAGTCATCGAGCAGACGTGAAACCAGGAACTTGGCGATTCCTTCGAAAATCCTATATTTGCTAATGCACAGGAATCTAAATCGATGTATTCATCTTGCGTATCTTCCAGATTATTTATCATGCGTTTAAGAGCCACATCTGATAACGTAATCCAACGAAAATTTTGTTGAGACATCCTTTGCAATCTACGATACAGGTATTCTAGGTAGGTGTAACTCAGAACATAACGAGGATTTTGGCGCATTAAAGTGGTGATTCCTCTTAGGATCTTTTTGTGACGCAGCAGGGTAGAAAGTATCCTCTGACATGTCATAGTTATTTATACAGAATTCTTTATATCAACTTTATGGTCGCACCTTTTATTATATTGATCAAGTACATCGAATCTGAAAAAAGAAAAAAAAATTATTATAATAATTTGTATATAAAAATGTAATAAAAATATTGTTTTGTCGTTTAGGTTTTTACAAATTTATATGTATATAAAACTAGACGTTTTATTTTCCAAAAAATTTCTCTTTTTCTTCATTTTTCGAATTTTAAAATTTTTATTTTACAGCCTTTCATTATATTGATTAAAAAAGATAGCAATTTCTATAAACATTTTTTTAACAATTATTTTTGTTGGATTTTTTAAATAGTTTTAATAATTTCTAACATATTTTTCATTTTCTCGAAATTAGATGCATAAATAAACTAGACATGTATAAAATTTTTGAATAAAAAATTTTGTCATTTCTTTTTTCTTATTAATTTTTGAATTTTAAATTCACGTTTGAATTTATATTAAAAATTGGCTTATTTCTGTGTTTTGCGAAAAATGCAATTTCTGTGGAAGAAGATAAAAGAATAATTATCATTGTTTAATAATCATCATTATTAATGAAAGAATAATTATTATATTATATTTAAATTAATTAAATTATTAAGTATTATATAAATAATTTATTCTTTCATTTTTCATCAAAAAAAACATTCGCAAAATGCATTTCTTTGCACTTTTATCCCACCAGAATTTATGCACTTATCTCTACAATTTTTTCTCATATATACTTTCGCAAGTATTTCGCAATTATTGCGAAAATATAAGAAGGAATTGTAGAGGATGACATGGAATTTTAAATGAAAATATTTCAAAAAATACCTCAAGATCTCGAATATGCAAAAACACGCAGCATATTATTTCGTGCATATATTTTTCCCTCTTTTCGCTCCGCGATTAATAAAATATGAAAAAATGACAATAATTTTATTTCAAAAAGCTCACGCACATATATTATTTACCACGTCCGAGACAATGATAAAAAGGTTATGTTTAACCTTCCTGTCAATATGCATATAATTTTGCGTCAACGCATGAATATACCCATCATTATTTTCGATATCCATCAGAGATGCATTCAAATCTTATAAGAATTAAAATAATAGAGCGAGCATAGAATTTTTTTTTTTTTTTTTTTTTTTTTTTTAACGCTCCGCATCGCGAAAGCGCGAGGTTGAGAGTCACTGAACAATGTACCCAATTTCGGGCCGCGATCTTCCTCCGGCGAGGTTACTATAGGAACAGTAGCGGCGCGTGGAAGAGACTCCTCCTCGCGCGGGAGAGAAGGAGAGACAGAGAGAGAGAGAGAGAGAGAGAGAGAGCGCGCAACAGCTGTCAAACCCCGGTAAATCTCACCTGTCAAACAGCTGTCAAAATCTCGCGGCCCGCGACCAACTTCACCCCGTCTTCGTTTGACACTTCGCGATCCTCGTCTACGCGCGATCGATCTCGACGGGGGATCTCGATCGAGATTCCGCCACTTGCCGGCGTGACGTATCGCGAGAGGGGGAGAGGGAGGGGGGAGAGAGAGAGAGAGACAGTGAAAACCGTTGGTGGCAGCCGTTAATGCGCGAGTAAACCTAACCTGACCCAGTCCCGCGCGATAGCGTCCTTATTGCAGGTTTTTCTCGTAGGGGACGGGGAAATCTCCGTTCCCGACTTTAAAGCTCCGTTGCTGCGTGGGGAGCGCGGAGGACAATTTTGTACGATATTATGCGAGGCCCCGCACTCGGTAAGCTCGGTGTATGAATTGAGGTGTCGACTGCGAGAGTCTCCGTTCTCGCCGTCTACCTTGTGTGTGTGTGTGTGTGTGTATGTGTGCGTGCGATTGTATATGTGTGTGCGAGAGTGTCATCCAACTCCTGGGGATTCTCGAGGAGGTCGACGTCCGCGCGATGCTCAAGTCTATCTTTTCGTATCCAGGTCGAGCCGGGTCGTAAACGAAGCTCTGGGAGTCTCTCCCTCTAGTCGCTCTAGATCTGGGGTGGAGGAGGAGGATGTTTACATTTTTATACCTGTACAATCGTATGACCGACTGGGATGCCGCAGAATACTCTCTGCTACTGTTTGCGTTAATCGTCGAACTTTTTGTTGTTTTGTCAGTTTATAAGGAAGCCTCCGAGATAAACGCCAGGCAACAGAGTCAGTGATCGTCATGGATCCCGCGACGGTGATCGCCCTCTGCAAGGAGAACATTCAGCCACTGAGGTACGGCAGGAATGCTACGCAGCTGGGAACCGCGTTGAGGGCCCAGGAGGACGCAGAGGCCCAGCAGCTGCTGCTGCAGGAGAAGCAGTGAGTGAACCTGAAAAGAGGAGGAGTTGCTTAGGATTTAAGAAATCTTACTGCGACACTTGTATGTGGATTGTTATGGTACTTTTCCTTCAGTAGAAATCGATGCGACATGGAATATTTGGGTTCCGCATGAATTATTAGATGCTTTCCATCTACATCAAAACTCAGATCAATCTCACTTCTGTCTTTCTTCAACAGCCATGTTAAAGAAAGACAAAAGTGAGATTTATCTTACTGCGACACTTGGATTGTTATGGTTCTTCTCCCTCAGTAGAAACCAATGCGACATGGAATATTTGGGTTTCCGCATGAATTATTAGATGCTTTCCATCTACATCAAAACTCAGATCAATCTCACTTCTGTCTTTCTTCAACAGCCATGTTAAAGAAAGACAAAAGTGAGATTTATCTTACTGCGACACTTGGATTGTTATGGTTCTTCTCCCTCAGTAGAAACCGATGCGACATGGAATATTTGGGTTCCGCATGAATTATTAGTTGCTTTCCATCTACATCAAAACTCAGATCAATCTCACTTCTGTCTTTCTTCAACAGCCATGTCAAAGAAAGATAAAAGTGAGATTTATCTTACTGCGACACTTGGATTGTTATGGTTCTTCTCCCTCAGTAGAAACCGATGCGACATGGAATATTTGGGTTCCGCATGAATTATTAGATGCTTTCCATTTACATCAAAACTCAGATCAATCTCACTTCTGTCTTTCTTCAACAGCCATGTTAAAGAAAGACAAAAGTGAGATTTATCTTACTGCGACACTTGGATTGTTATGGTTCTTCTCCCTCAGTAGAAACCGATGCGACATGGAATATTTGGGTTCCGCATGAATTATTAGATGCTTTCCATCTACATCAAAACTCAGATCAATCTCACTTCTGTCTTTCTTCAACAGCCATGTTAAAGAAAGACAAAAGTGAGATTTATCTTACTGCGACTCTTGGATTGTTATGGTTCTTCTCTCTCAGTAGAAACCGATGCGACATGGAATATTTGGGTTTTGCATGAATTATTAGATGCTTTCCATCTACATCAAAACTCAGATCAATCTCACTTCTGTCTTTCTTCAACAGCCATGTTAAAGAAAGACAAAAGTGAGATTTATCTTACTGCGACACTTGGATTGTTATGGTTCTTCTCCCTCAGTAGAAACCGATGCGACATGGAATATTTGGGTTCCGCATGAATTATTAGTTGCTTTCCATCTACATCAAAACTCAGATCAATCTCACTTCTGTCTTTCTTCAACAGCCATGTCAAAGAAAGATAAAAGTGAGATTTATCTTACTGCGACACTTGGATTGTTATGGTTCTTCTCCCTCAGTAGAAACCGATGCGACATGGAATATTTGGGTTCCGCATGAATTATTAGATGCTTTCCATTTACATCAATACTCAGATCAATCTCACTTCTGTCTTTCTTCAACAGCCATGTTAAAGAAAGACAAAAGTGAGATTTATCTTACTGCGACACTTGGATTGTTATGGTTCTTCTCCCTCAGTAGAAACCGATGCGACATGGAATATTTGGGTTCCGCATGAATTATTAGATGCTTTCCATCTACATCAAAACTCAGATCAATCTCACTTCTGTCTTTCTTCAACAGCCATGTTAAAGAAAGACAAAAGTGAGATTTATCTTACTGCGACTCTTGGATTGTTATGGTTCTTCTCTCTCAGTAGAAACCGATGCGACATGGAATATTTGGGTTTTGCATGAATTATTAGATGCTTTCCATCTACATCAAAACTCAGATCAATCTCACTTCTGTCTTTCTTCAACAGCCATGTCAAAGAAAGACAAAAGTGAGATTTATCTTACTGCGACTTTTGGATATGGATTGTTATGGTTCTTCTCCCTCAGTAGAAACCGATGCAACATGAAATATTTGGGTTCCACATGAATTATTAGTTGCTTTCAATTTACATCAAAACTCAGATCATTTACACTTCTGTCTTTCTTCAACATTCATGTTAAAGAAATACAAAGAGGAGGAATTGCTTAGAATTTAAGAAATCCTACTGTAACACTTGTATGTGGATCGTTATGGTTCTTCTCCCTCAGTAGAAACCAATGCGACATGGAATATTTGGGTTCCGCATGAATTATTAGTTGCTTTCCATCTACATCAAAACTCAGATCAATCTCACTTCTGTCTTTCTTCAACATTCATGTTAAAGAAAGACAAAAGTGAGATTTATCTGAGTTTTAATGTAGATGAAAAAAGCAATTTGTGTTCTTTTGTAGAACGTATGAGGATGCGATCAAGAACTATGAGGGAGACGATCCTCTGGAAAATTGGTACGAGTATATCCTCTGGGTGGAGCAGAGTTATCCGAAAAATGGCCACGAATCACATATTGGGAGACTTTTGCAGCAGTGTCTGGCAATATTTGAGAAGGAGACCAAGTATTATCAGGATCGCAGATACATACGTTTGTGGATTAATTATGTGAGCATAATTGTCTACAGGGTTGAGAAGTAACTCATTACAGTTATAGTTAAATTTTTTGATAACTTTATTCCTTTTTTCTATAATTGTAGATCCTATAATTGTAACTTAACCTAGTTACATTTTTTTTGGTAAATAGTAATTAATTTAATAGTTAGTTTATTTAAAACTTAGGACTAACAATTTTTTGGAAAGTTACAACTCTGAAATTTTATGAATTTTTTAACTGAAAAATCTGATTCCCATAATTTTTATTCAAAGTAAATAATATTAATTATTGTGTTAGAAGAAGTTAATTTATTACAAATTATTAATTTAATATATTTAATATATGTATTAAATTATTAATTTAATACATTAAATATATTTTTACCTTAAATTTAAAACAGTTGTAATTTATTGCATATAAAATAATAATATATAATTTAGTAATGCTTGAAATACATAAGATAATTATATTCAAAATATAATATAAAGTCATACCAAAAAAAGTAGCAATTTATTATTTTTTGAGTTATTATAACTGCAACATGTTATTTTTCAGAATCGATAACTGTAACTAATTACTTTTTCAGTAAAAAAACCTGTAACCAGATACTTTTACAAACTAACTTCCTCAACCCTGATTGTCTATATACACATTATTTTGTAGAGCTGTGTATATTAATGCTAAGCTTTCACTTTTAGATAAGTATGCAGAAGAATCCATTAGAGTTATACCAGTTACTGCATAACAATGGCATCGGCACCAGAGTAGCTGACACGTACAGAGCCTGGGCTTTCGAACTAGAGCAGATTGAGGATGATAAACGAGCGGACGAGGTTTACTTACTGGGACTCTCCGTTCGTGCAGAACCCTACGACGAACTTAGTCACGCTCATCAGTACGGATCGATTCCTTTCTTCGCACAATAAATTTGTATCCTGCGAATGTAATAAGACCTTTCTTTCCGCAGAAATTTCCAATTTGCTGTAGCGCGCAAGACACTCGGTCGTATCGAGGAGAGAAACGACGTCTCGCTGTTTGAGCAACGTCAGGCCTTCAGTTCGTTAAGAGCGATAAGGGCTGGTAAAAGAGTCGGCAGTATACGAACAGGTCATCGTGTGCGCGAGTACTATCCTGGCGTCGTGCCCCAGATCCCGACTTCCGCCCAGAACGCGAAGCCCAATTCCAAAATACAAATCTATCAAGTGAGTCTATATCTATCGACAGTGTGTTTGCTGTTATCTAAATAAAATTATATAGATGATCATCTAGATGAAACTTTGGCATGTTATCTTCATATGGATAATAAAAATATATGTATTATTTATATCTGAACCTTATAAATGAAAAATAAGTATTATCTTGACTAAATTATCTAGAATAATTATTAGATAATTTTGGTTTAGAATCATAGCACATAAAAATACTTAAATAGTAGAACTTAAGCAGTAAGCGATAAAAATTTATAAATAAAAATATGAATACATATGTTTTTATATCCCTTTTATAATTTGTATATATATATATATATATATATATATTTTAATAAGTGTGTTTACATGTAAGCAGTCTTAAAAATTATTAATCTAGATGAATCGCCATATAATTTTAATTTTTATCTAAATATATTTAAAACACAATCATCTTTATCTTATCTAAGATGAATTTACATATTTTTATCTCATTTTTATCTAGCTAATTTTAAAATCATCTCGCAACACTGTCCATCGATAATAACTGTAATTTGAATGTAATTTTTTAAAAGTAAGTTGTGCATAATGAAATGTTATGTATAACAGGATGACACACCTGCAGAGATGAAGACTTTCAGCATATTGGATCATGTGCCTATAGAGGATTCGGTGCATAAAGAGAATACCATCAAGCCTGGACCATGGAATAGTGGAAGCAAGAGAGGTCCCTTGATAGCTCCTACTGTGAAAGCAGGTTTCAAAGGTAAGCGTGAGAATAAAATATATAAGACTAGAGTGATAAATTATTTTGCCAAAGATTAATCAAAATCTGTCTCCTTATCTTTCCAGTTCACGAAGATCAGAACGATGATACCAACATGGAGAAAATTAGATTATTCCCAAATCATGTAACTTTCTGTGACGGTAGTAAATGTCATGACAGTTTAAGGGTGCCGGTATATGTAGCAGATCCGATAGATCCAAATATTGTACAAAAATCACATTATCCCAAAGAGCTAGTCTATGCTGATAACATTGATCGTAGTATGGAGGAGATTAAGGCACAACTTTATTTCGAAAGGTATTGCTGTAAAAAAGAAAAACTAATTAACTAAAAATTATATAATATAAAAAAACTATTAATCTCGGCTCGAATTATTGTGTTACAATAAAAATAAAATCTCGACGGCAATCGGAGCCTATGCGGATGACATGCACAAAATTAATAAATTAAAATGAGATCTCAAGTCAAACTCATTTATTAAATTCTAAACGTTTCGACCCACTTCGGGTCTTCTTCAGTAGCTGCAAAATACAAAGAAACAAAAATAGAAGATAATCGGTACAATCAGAAAATTATAAAACTCGTATACATACAATCCGCAAATAAAAATTATATATATTTATTATATATATTTATATATTTATTTATATATTTATCTACATATTTATATATGTATTTTATATATATTATATAAATTAAATATATTTATTAAAATATATACTATTAATTATTTTACGTAATAGTACATCGCAGACTAGTGCACACGATAATTAATACAATATATGATTTTTTGCACAGAAGGGCACAACTTTTGGAGACCAATAAACATGAGATGTCGATGGTTTGTTTACGCGAGACCAGCGGCGAGTCTCAGTCTCAGCTGAACAATTACGAAAATATGTATCATTTACAAGAGATCGAGCAGCAGAAGCTGAATCAGCAGAGAAGAGAGGCCGAGATCAGGCAGAGACTCCAGGCGGAGCAGCAGGAATTGCAGAGGCAACGGTACGAAGTGGAGAACCAGGTTTTGGAGACGCAACGCCAAGAGGCCGAGCGAAGAGAGATGGAGAGGCTGGAGGCGGAGAGACTCGAGGCGCAGAGAATAGAAGCGGAGAGACTCGAGGCCCAGAGAATAGAAGCGGAGAGACTCGAGGCGCAGAGAATAGAAGCGGAGTTGAACACGCAGCGAAAGCTGCAAACGTCGAATCAGTTCATGCATCAGCACCACACCTCGTCCCTGACTGCCGACACCGAGGAGCATCTCCTCGGGCAGAGTCTCACCGTGAACACGAAGGAGGCCATCTCGATGGTGCAGGGCCTGTGGCAGCAATCCCCGGACACGAGCTTGCGCTTTCGCAGCCACCCCGTGGCACCTAGAATAGTGGACACGAGAAGTAAATTGCCGTTCGACATTCACATGGACGGCTCGATGACGCAGCACGCGATGTCCAACAACAAACCTCACCATCAGGGATACAACATGCAGGTTTATAACGATCAAGAGAACCATCATCATAGCTTTCACGCGCAGCATCATAATTACTCGGGTCAGGAGCAACAAACCGGATACGCAAATCATAGTTTGCAAAACAGTTATCATTATCAGATGCAGGTAAATAGCGAACAATAAGACGACAAAATATTTAGATTAATAAATAAAAAATCTTTAGAGTTTCTGAAGCAATAAAATCTTGTTCATTACAGCAACATCATGATCACCAGGCGCAACAACAGTCCCAGCACCATCCTCGACAACATCATCCTCAGCATCATCAGCAGCAGCATCATCAGCAGCAACATCATCAGCAACAGCAGCAACATCATCAGCAACAGCAGCATCATCATCAGCAACAGCAACAACATCATCAGCAACAGCAGCAACATCATCAGCCACATCAGCAGCAGCATCATCAGCCGCAGCATCATCATCAGCAGCAGCATCAGATGATTCCATCGCATCAGCAAATGCACAGCGTACATCATCAGTCTCTCTCTCATTCGCAGCACTTGCAGTCGCCTCACGGACAAATGCCGCATCATCCACAGCCGCACATCCATCATCACCAGTCTCCGCACAATCAGCACATCTTGCACTCTCAACAGCCGCAGCAGCATATGCATCAACATATGCAGCAGCATATGCAACATCCCGTTTACAGCAACATGTTACCGCCCACTGATATTGGTTATCAACAATACTCGACGTCGATGGAGGCTCCGACGATGCTGCAGCAAAGTATAGAGCCGCAGAAGCAGTTGCATTTCTCGCCGTACAGCGATCCGGATATCGAGACGAGCAAACCGTATAGAATGCCACCCGAGTTGCCGTACATCAAGTCGCCCGGGATGAATCGCAAGGACATCAAGTATCTCGAGAGCGCGGAGAACAAGGAGAACGCCATAGTTGTGGATTATAACGGTCCGCTCGAGGAAAATATGGTGCCCAAATTGGACGAGAACAATCTTTATATCGACGAAAGTCTAGGTATAGCTCCCCTTTCGACCATCAACGAGACTTGTTACACGGAGGCCTTCAACACGCACTTGACTAGTTCTACGCCGATGACCAATTTTAAGCCAGCCTACAGAATGAAGGATGAGCTGCAATTTCCAAGTCAAAATACCGTGTCCGAACCGTACGTATCAAACTTTTGTCCCTTTTCTCGACGCTGAATATACATTTACAACTTGAACTTTTATTTCGACAGACCTGCAGAAGTTCCCCCTGTGGAAGGTGATGACAAACTGAGTGTAATATTGGAGTCCACCCGGGAATATGTTTCAAGTAGTTCGAGTAGCACCAATTATACTAAAACTACCACTGGATTGGCTTTTGGATTAACGAGAGAAGATATGACTCCTATCAAGGAACAATCTGTGGACACACGTATGTCCATATAATATTTTCCCTGTTATTATATGTATATAAGCACATGTTTTTTTTTATATTTTTGTATTTAATATAAAATATATAGGCATTTTGAAAATTTTTTTATTTTTTAAATTTTAACTACGATTGAACCAATAGTTGTACATAAGTTCTTTTTCTTGTTTTTAAAAAATTAAAATTAAATAAAAATAATTATATAAGAATTATATAATTATATAATATCCAATATTAAATATCAAATATTTTATAGTAAATATTTATTTATAATATAATATTTAATATTTAATACACAATATTTAATTAAATATTTAATATATATATATATATATATATATATATATATATACAATTTATTTATATTAAATATTTTATATTATCATATAATTATGTAATATTAAATTATAATATTATATAATTATATAATAGTATAAAGAATAAAATTAAAAAAACTTTTATTAAAGTTGTAGAGGAAGAATCAAACGAAGCTCTCCTGTCCACGAATCAGCCTTACGAGCAAAAGCTGCGCGCACAAATTCAAGCTGTGCACGCTCAAAGTCCGCGTACGGTGCAACGAAACGTCGATCAGATAACGTCCGAGATACAGAATAATTGCGATTTGAGGAAGTCTATAAATTTACAATTCAACAATGAAGAAGAGAAGCCGGAGAAAGCCGACACCATGGATTGCGAGGAGCACGAACCTATGGAAGAAATGGAAGAGGAACTCTTCCAGCTCCCTTCGAGGGACATAAATCCATTTGACAAGAACCTGATAGCCGGCCTACTGAAGCAAATTAAATTTCCACAACCCCAACATGCAGAGGGATACTCAAGAATAGATATCAATCTAAATAATAAGCTCGTGCCTTCTACCATGATTACGCTTGGTCGGTATTCTTAACTTTGACATCTTTTCTATCTGTCATCGAGAAAATACATTTAAAAATGCGTTCTTCTTCGATTGCGCAGGCACAGAAGCGTATGATTTGGAAAAGTGCCTTGGGAAAGGAATGTACGGGACAGTCTTTAAAGCAGTCAATTTGCAGACAGGCGAAACCGTCGCCCTTAAAACACAAAGACCCGCTTGGATCTGGGAATTTTATATCGTACGAGAGATAAAAGCGCGTCTCACGAATCCGCATATGGTACCGTGTAAACATTATGCAGGGTGTCCCATAGGAAATTGCTGAAACTAATCAGTTGTCGTTTTTTGATGCATGCAGTTATTGAGAAAATAATTGTGTTGAAAAGAGGAAAGTCTACAGTTATTTAATGGATCCAAATAAAATGTTTGTATACCAGTTTATTTTATTGAAAAAAGTAATGAAAAAATGCTAATAATCACATATGTAAACTAATGATAAATATTTTCGAAGTACGCATTATTTGAATTTGTACAAAATTCTGTTCTTTTACGAAAACTCGTAAAAACTTTTTCTGTCATGTCATTTTTAATGTTATTGACTATCCTTTTAATAGCTGCAATTAAATCTGGTATTGTTGAAAATATTTATTAGTAGTTTATGTGATTATTAGAATTTTTTCTATCAATAAAACAAACTGGTATACAAACATTTTATTTATGTCCATTAAAAACTGTAGACTTTCCTATTTCCAATACAATTTTTGTTTTCTCAATAACTGCATGCATTAAAAAATGACAGCTGATTAGTTTCAGTAATTTCTTATGGGACACTGTACGTATCTTTGTGTCACTGCACCTGCGAGCTTATAATTATACACGCTGATATATTCTTTTCAGCTACGTGGCTTCATGGATGTAACAATGGCGTATGTGGCCAACAATGGAAGCGTACTAGTTTCAGAATACTCCAAATTTGGGACATTATTATCGGTGACGAATCAGATAAAACTCGCCACTGGGAAGCCTCTGGTGGAAACCATAGCTATTTTTTTCACAATCGAGATGCTTCAAATCGTGGAGTACTTACATAAATGCCAAATAATACATGGGGACATAAAGCCAGATAATTTTTTATTAATGCGACCGTTAGTATCATCTTATCGCTACTTTTTCTTTTATTGAAGATATATTATTAAGATCAACTACTTAATATAACATACGTATAATTTTAATTTTTAATAGTTCACACAACATTACGTGAAATATGAGATATTTTCGTTAAAGAAGAAAGTTTTATTATTTAGTAGTACATAAAATATCGTATAAGTAGATAGTCATAAGATTTATTAAACTGTCCTTAATATATTTATATATATATAATAAATATATATTTATATATTTATTATATTATTTATATATATTTATTTATATTCATTATTATTTGTATGTATATATATATATATATTAATATATTTATAATTTTTATCATTGACAGACTGACGCAAGATGTGAGGCCAACAATACAGTTGATAGATTTCGGATGCAGTATAGATATGAAACTGTTGCCGGAAAATACAACATTCACGCATGTGATAAAAACAGAAGACTTTACCTGTATCGAGATGCAAACCGGAAGACCGTGGACATATCAGACTGATTTATATTGTCTAGCGGCGACCAGTCATTGCTTACTATTTGGCAATTACATGAAAGTATCTAACGTAGGCGGTCGTTGGTTTATTGCCTCCAAATTACCAAGGTATATAAATAACGAATATAATTATATAGTGTTTCAAAAGCTCTGCAACAGTTAAATATCTCGAAGACAAAGGCTTCTTGAGAAAAATGTCTCAAATAAAACTAAACTTTCTCAAAAAAAAGTTTTTATTTTCGAGATATTTGACTGTTGCATTTTTGGGACACCTTGTATATTAATGTGTAATTGTAAGAATCACGCCCATTATTTTCAAGGAATTTTAATTGGTTTTTATTATTATTATTTTATTATTTATTATTATTATTATTATAGGTATGCTAAAAAGGCTGTTTGGGAACCATTTTTCACGGAGTTATTAAATATCGAATCTTGCGAGAAAATGCCCGATCTGGCAAAATTGAGAAATAACATGGAGGAAACTCTGGCGCGCGGAATGTCGGAAGCGCAGACGAAATTTCGAACCTTCGTCAACATCCTCAACAAACGATAACGCTTGCTATATCTGATGATTTGTACCAATGTGTGCATATATTTAGCGAAGAACCATAATGTAATAAGAGACATTAATGTTATTGTGCTATTTATTATAAAAAGAAGTTAATACTGCAGTGATAAAAAATATATATGTATCTACACAGTTATAATTATACACGAAATGCACCTTACGGCCTGCTTCGTGGAGGCTTTACCGATATTCGTGTTGCTTGCACATAATCAAGAACGTTATTAAGGACCACTGTTGCGAGGAAAGTTTGACCCTTCACAAATGTTTCGGAAACTTACGAGGTATGCGAGGATTTATATGAGGAAAAGATTTTTTGGACAAATGTATCTTGTTATTTCTAACATAATACAGGGTGTCCCATAGGAAATTGCTAAGACTAATTAGCTGTTATTTTTTAATATATGCAGTTATTGAAAAAAAAAACGAAAATTGTGTTGAAAAGAGGAAAGTCTACAGTTTTTAATGTATATAAATAAAATGTATACCAGTTTATTTTATTGATAAAAAGTACTAATAATTACATATGTAAACTAATAAATATTTTTGAAGTGCGCTCCATTTGAATTTGTACAAAATTCTGTTCTTTTACGAAAACTTGTAAAAACTTTTGCTAACATGTCATTTTTAATTTTATTGGCAATCCTTTTAAGAGCCACTATTAAATCTAGCAGTGTTATAAATATTTATCATTAATCTATGCGATTTTATGTGATTATTAGTACTTTTTTAATTATTTTATCAATAAAATAAACTGATATACAAACATTTTATTTATATCCATTAAAAACTGCAGACTTTCTTCTTTCCAACATTTCCACAATTTTTGTTTTCTCAATAACTGCATGCATTAAAAAATGACAACTGATTAGTTTCAGCAGTTTTCTATGAAACACACTGTATATGAGCTACATAATATTTGTATAATATGATTCAACATGTCAATTTTATTAAAAAAAAAGAAGAAAAAACGAATTTGTAAAGATAAATAGTACAATATGAGTGTGATGATGTGGTATTTGGATCAATTTCAATTTTGCAAGATAACGTGCAAAAGTACACGTGTACCGAAAATGTATCTGATTGCCAGAGTACCTTGTATAGACAATTAAAATGTATATGTGTAATTCTGTCTTGTATATTTAAAGAATTGACAAAAACCGTTTTTGATCTTTTCAAGATAAAATTCTGTTGCATAAATTAAATATCTCATCGTTTCGTTTCTTTAAATATTCTCTTTTCAACATGTGTACAAAAATATATTACATAAACAATGTTAACTGATTATTTCCGATTCTTCTCCCCTTTCATTCACTTTTAATAAAAGTAACGATAAGTATAATGTATTATCTAAAGCGATGCCAACTTTTTTATCTGAATATGTGCAGGCTTGTTTTCGAATGTCCACTAAACAGGCCTTTTTTTATGTATTATACTTTTTATAAGTTAGATTATATATGTATATGAATATATGTGCGACACGAGCAACATGGAAATTTCCAATTTGTGTGTTCCATAGATTTTATAAAGATGTACAAGGACTTTGGGTTGTCTATAAATAAAAATATGAATTGTGTATTTACACATATCGCTATGTAGGATATGTTACATATATATCTATATATATATATAATCGACAACCTATCGTTCTTGTTTATGGAAATTTATATAAGAATATGCCTTAAATCTCATACTTTAATGCAACATAAAAACAACTTTCAGATAAGAGCCCGTACAAAGTTTTAAAATATTAAAAAAAAAACAGTTGAGACATTGTAAAATACATTTATTAAAATCAATAACATCAAAATATTAATATCCTGATTTATCTTTGATCGCAAAAATTGTATATTACAATGTTGTAATCTCTGTATCTACTATCTTATAAAATCATACATTTATAACTTTATATATATATATATAATTATAATTATACAAGGTATAACTGAAAAGAACATATATAAAAAGCACATCGTCAAATCAAATTCTCTAGCCAATTTTGGAGATGATATATTTTCTCAATGAAAATGATGACCTCCATCAATATTTTCATTGAGAAAAATTTCCAAATTGATTAAAGAATCTGATACAGTATGTTCCATATGTTTTTTTATGTTACACCTTGTATATATAGTAAATGATTATATATATATATATACATACAATTTCCAGTATTATACAAAGATCCCTGTTATTCAAAAAATTATTATTATTAATATAACGTTCTCTTTAATAAAAAAAAAATCAGTAATTTTGAGAGTGAATACGATTATCATTATTACTTTATTCATCATTAATCAGATGATTTTTTTATTTACTCAAATCATATTTTCCAGTTTTTAATATGTGATTATAAACATAATTTTTATATATCTAAAGTAGCATTTCAAAATACCGATTTCTAAATGCAATATTTGAATGCACTTGACCACATGATATATTACAAAACTATAATAAAACCAAAGAACACTATAAATTATTTTTTTATGATTATTTTATAAGTTTATCGAGGAAGTTTTTTATAAAATTATTTTTATTTTTCTAAAAAAATAATATTTAAAAAAATATACTTTATTACATCTACGCTGTACCAAATATACCGATATCTGGAAGATATCTAAATATCAGAATATTTGATTTATGTAGCACTACTGAAATTTCACTTAGATTTCTGAGTACTGAAAAATATCTTTTTGATTCTAAAAAATCATAATTATTTAATTTAAGATGATTGATTCTGTATTACATTTTAGAGATCTATATTTTACACATTAAAATTAGATTTTGTATGTGCAATATTGCAGAATAGAATATGTGATTAGATATATTATATAAAATATATTTTTCGAAATAAATGATTTAATAAAAACCAATTATTAAAATAATATAAAGAAACAAAATTGAAATTTTATACAATATATTATATATATGCTTAAATTCTTTTTTTAGTATTATATGTTTATATCTTTTTTGTCTAGATAAATTTGGAAAAATTTTTTTAGAGAATAATTAAGTAGTAAGTAAAAATAATAATAATTAAACCGATAAATAAAATAAATATTGACTTCAATTAAAAAAAAAATCAAATAACGAGATATTTCAAATGACATAAAATCGAATATTTGCTCGACCAATGAAAATAAAAGGAGCGAAAATCTCTTCGTCCGGATTGGTCGAAAAACTCCGCTTGACAGACGGATTTTTGAACGCACTCCCGAGCCGACCAATCAGATTCCGCGTGACGTAACTGACGCGCGGCCAATCAGCGTCAAGCTGGACTTCAAACGCGGAAAATAGGCAGCTTCGCGAAAATGGCGGGAAACGAAGGAAGCCGCAGAAAGAAGGAAGGGGATGAGTGTTTTCGGTGGAACAATTTTGACGATTTAATCAATTCTCGACGGTGATTTCTTTCGAATCTCGTCGCATTTCGTTTCACTCTTCGCATCGCGTTGTATTTTGTTATAAACAATGGCAGTACAACCTAATCAACAGTTTAATATGGGTATGAAGTCTCTCTAACCAATATTTCTTTGTCAGTTGGGTCTCACGTTGTCAGTGTTATTTTATTTATTTTATTTGATTTCAGATCCTCCCACGCAACAAGGCTTCGTTAGATTTTTTAAGAGTCTTCCAGAGGTAAGCAAACACATTGTAAATTTTATAAGTGATGTTTGAATATTTTTTATAATCTGAAAAAAAGTTTTCCATAAGATATAAACATTTAAAAAAAGATTGATAAATACAGCTGATATTAGATTGTAGCTAAACATAAATAATTAGAAAATAGAAGATATTTTCCTAACGATTCTTTAAGAATTTTCCAGAGATAATTTATATTACAACAAATTTTGTGATTGTTGAAAAAAGTATAGACAAGAAATATTGATAACAGCTAACAGATGTAGTAATTAAACAAATAATTATAGAAAAAGGAAGATATAATAAAAATAGAAAGGGAAGATATAATAAAAATAGAAGATATTTTTTTTAACGATTCTTTAAGAAACATCCAGAGGTGATAATTTATATTACAACAAATTTTGTAATTGTTAAAAGAGGTATAAATAAAAAAATATTAATAAAAACAGCTAACAAATAGCTAAACATAAATAATTATAGAAAATAGAAGGTATTATAAAAATAGAAGATATTTTCCATTACTATTCTTTAAGAATCATCCAGAAATAATTTATATTACAACAAATTTTGTGATTATTGAAAAAAGTATAGATAAAAAAATATTGATAACAGTTAACAGATGTGGTAACTAAACATAAATAATTATAGAAAAGAGAATATATAATAAAAATAGAAGATATTTTTCCTAACGATTCTTTAAGAATTATTCAGAAGTAATCATTTATATTACAACAAATTTTGTAATTGTTGAAAGAAGTATAAATAAAAGAATATTGATATAAACAGCTAACAGATGTGATAGCTAAACATACATAATTATAATGGAATTAAAATAGAAGATATAATAAAAATTGCAGATATTTTTCTGAACGATTCTTTAAGAATCTTCCAGAGGTAACAATTTATATTACAACAAGTAATCATTGAAATATCTTTTATTTTCTTGTTCTATCATAGCTGTTATGGAATTTTTTTTCACATTGATAAATTGTGTGTTGAAAATACTCAAAAAAAAGTAAAGCAAAATCTTATATAAGATTTAACAAAGAAAAAACCATTTGTTCATTAATTTTATTTATATTTTTTTATTAAATTTAACAAAGAAAAAACCATTCTTATTTTATTATATTATACAAATGCTACTCTTTTTCAAGTTGATTTGAAATATTCTACAATTTGCAGATTTTGAAAAATAAGATAGAAATTATTTAACTTTAATAAAAATGTATAACAGAAAAGTAATCTGAAACTTTTTAAAGTAACTTACCGTAAAATATGAATAGCATCCAGAAATATAGTTTATAAAAGGGATTGCTGGATCTTTATTTATGTAAAATATTTTTATTCTATTAATATGTACGGAACACATAAGTTTGATCTTTTCTTTCGCTGACATTCTTCCTTAACATTATTAAGAAGAAAAATGTGATTACAATTGGCTTTACTTTATATATTATATATGTATCATTAATCTTTTAATCGTATTTAAATTTTCCTTGTATCTATATTTGAATCATTGATGAAATGAAAATATTTTATGCAAAAACTATATAAAGATGTCGTGTGAAGAAATGCTTAAATAAAGATGTAGAATAAAAATTTTGTTTCTGTATATACTGATGTACAAAACAGACGACATATATTAATATATTTTTACTTTATAAGAAATGTGAAAAGTATATCTTATATAGTAATGTTTTATAATACTAACTTAGAGTATATATTAAATGAAGTTGCAAACTTGTATCATAATTATGTATTAGATTTGTCTTGGTGTTATCGATAACTACAAATACATGTTACAAATAAATGTAACAATGCAATGTATCGAAAAGGAGTATATAGAATAGAGAAATTTTGCTGACAAAATTTTGTATAAATAAAAGTAATTTTTAAATAAGTAGAAAACATGAGAGAGAGAGAGAGAGAAAGAGAAAGAGAAAGAGAAAGATACCTAACCGAAGTACTCTTTAGCCTTTTCCTTAGCTTTATCATATGTTCTGGTTATTTTATGCCCAAGTCTGCTCCAGAAGGATGGCGGTGCTTCCATTGTTGTAGCTTCTACTATCTGCGTAGTAATCTCTATCTTTTCTGTTGTAGTGGCAGTGTTATCTGGTGTACTTGCTACAGGCAAAGTATTCATTACCGTCCATGGTATTATCTCTCTTGGCTTCTCCCTGATATCCCATGGGTCTTCGTCACCTGGAATAGGTGGCAAAGTTGCGCTGGGGTTTGGCCTGACTCTTCTATAAATGTCATCGTTACGCGAGGCATCATAGGGCCCTCCACCGTAGGCTTCCAGGATCCGCGACTCCATCTTATGTTCTGTCTGCTCTGTAGTTTGCGAATTGTGTAGTGGTATCACTCCCAGTGCAGCTTGCTCAGAGTTCTGATAAACCTGAGTGTCAAAATGGGACGCGTCGGCTTGTTGAAAGGACCCCAGCTGTTGATCACGCTGGTCGCGTTGGACCTGAGGTATTCGAGAAATATGCGTTTCCTTAGATGTCTGTTGATCTTGGGTCTCCTGTTGACTGAAGTCGAACGGTTCCGATTGCTGCTGTGTATCGTCTTCCTTTTGCTGTGAATCGACGTTCTGATGCGGATAGTAACTGTTCTGCGAGCCCTCGATGTTAGTCAAGTCGCTTGGGTGATAAGTGTAGTGCCACTGCAGGCCTACGGTAGCGTCGTTGGATTTGTGCACCCAGTGCAAGCGATCCACGTTTTCTTTCTCGTTGTCGAAAACAGTGCTCCTCGGACTTTGCGATGGAATGTCTGATCTGGGACGCTCGGATCTGGGATCTGTTAGGCGACCGCTGTGTTGGATGATTGTTTCCTGAGGATTGGGAAAATCAGTCTCCGGATTTATTTCGATCGGTTTGAAGATATCATCGACATCCGCATCCGGTCCTTCTGTATGCGATAAAATTGAGGAATCGTGTTGCTGATATCGTGGTCTGGGTTTTGGCTTCGGTGCCGGTTTCCTCGCCAATTGTTGATCATCAGTTTGTTGAGTGAAATCTTGCTGCGACATGTCCACTTGCCAGTCTGACTGTTTATTATTATTATTGTCGTAGGACGGATATCGCGATTGCTGTGAGAGATCTACATCTACATTCCAGTCGTTCTGTTGAGAAAATTGTTCCGGATGTCGAGGATTGTATCCCGGCCAGTTAAGTTCCTGCTCTCTTGACCGTTCCAAGTGTCCCGACGGTGGAAAATTGCCAAATCCTCCAACCTGTTGAGTTAAGTCTTCGTTCTGAGTAAAATCTTCCGGATGGTGATCGATCTTTGGATTACTGGGTCCATGCTGTCCAAATTCCAGCTGTCCCGTTGTCTGTTGCGTGTTAATTTCATCGTGTCTTCCCTGTTGAGGAAATTCTTCACTGTCAAACTCTTCTAAGTGTTGATTTTTTGGATTGCCAGGTTTGTCTGTTGATTGCAGTTTACCGATAGAGTCTGTCAAGTGTTGATCATCAGCAGTCTGCTGTCCAAATTGCAATTTATTTACAAACTGTTGCGTGTAATCATTCAATTGTTCAGTTTGCTGTTTCAGATCCTCCGCCTGTTGATCACCAACGGTTTGATGATCGAATTCAAGTTTCCCACTCGTTTGTTGCGTGAGATCTTCATAATCTTGTGACATGAAATGTTTATTGTCCTGTGTCAGATGATCCGATGATTGCGATTGCAATTTACCGATAGAGTCCGTAAAGTGTTCATCGTCAGCAGTCTGCTGTCCAAATTGCAATTTATCTATAAACTGTTGCGTGTAATCATTCAATTGTTCAGTTTGCTGTTTCAGATCCTCCGCCTGTTGATCACCAACGGTTTGATGATCGAATTCAAGTTTCCCACTCGTTTGCTGCGTGAGATCTTCATAATCTTGCGACATAAAGTGTTTATTTTCTTGTGTCAGATGATGATCATTGAAGGTTTGCCGTCCGAACTCGAGTTGCCCTTCTGTCTCCTGTTCATTCTGTTGCGTTAAATCCTTCAAGTGCTGATTACCAACCATTTGCTGGTCAAATTCGAGTTTACCTGTTTGTTGGGTTTGCTTGTTAGATTCTTGTTGCGTAAACCGTTCGTTCTGTTGCTGATCATCGGAAGTCTGCTGTCCGAATTCAAGTTGACCCTCCATCTCCTGCGACAACCATTTATTTTGTTGCCTTAACTGCTCCAAACGTCTTGCCAATTGGTCACTAACCATTTGCGCAAATTCTTCATTTTGCTGTGTAAAATCATGTGGATGACCGAACTCGAGTTGACCCTTCGTCTGTTGCGTCAACTCTTCGTCCTGTTGCGTCAACTCTTCGTCCTGTTGCGTAAAGTCCTCCGACTGCTGCGTCAGATTGAGTTTTTCCGAATCCGGCTCGAACTCCTGATCCTGCAGCGCGTGTTGAGCGTCTCGTTTGTACTTTCTGTGATAACTGGTCTCGTGCTGGTAATGCTGATGAGTCTCTTCGGTGCAGTCGGCGCCGTGTCCGGTTCTCCCTAGGTCCAACGCTGATCCGGCAGCCACTAGCTTCTGTCCGGAGCTGCTTCCGTATCCGGAACTGTAACTGCTCCCAACATGAGAGTCATATCCCTTGGCTGTGCTGTGGTAACTCCCTCGCTGCTCGTTGTGGACTCTACTACCAATTCCATGTAACCCCGTAAGATCAGTGCTACGTTCAGGAACTAGACTTCCCCCGGAACTCTGCCAGTGCTCCTCCTGGTAGTGTCTGTTCTCGTCTCGTCTACTGGAATAAGTCGGATGTGGATTGTGCACTCGCTCGGTGAAGAGCCGATTCTGATGCGCACTGGAGATCTCCGCCCTCTGGCTTTCGTCCACATGATGACGTCCGCCTGAATAGCTGTGCGCCTGGTAGTTACCTCCGGTAACCTGCACCGGGTAACTCGGTTGAGGAACAGGATGCACTCGGGACACGTAAGACTCCTGACTCTGATAGTTCCTTTGGCTCTCCGTCTGGCCATAGTTGGTATTGGGATGCACTAACTGTTGTCTTCCAGTATCAACGAACGTTTCTGCCTGCTGCTGATCGCTATAGTGACGGACAGTTCCAGTGGACGGATAAACACGACGGTAACCCGAAGATGCTTGGTGATGTCCATAAGAGTTCTCGCTCTCGGCGGTCTGGAGATCACTGCCGTGGAAGCTGCGGGCCGCTTCCTGAGCCAGACCAGCTGTTTGCTGATGGAACTCCCGTCTGAACTGGTCCAGCTCCTGTAGTACATTCCTGTGGGAGTCCACCCTGCTCCAGTTCTCCGGTGTGACGCTCTGAACGTGGACTCCATGTTGCCCGCCGTACTCCCCGAAGTCCTCGAGCCTCTCGCTCTGGCCGCCCACCCTGCTGGAGGACTGCTGGCTGTGAACCCTGCTGTACCCGCTCTCCTTCGTAACCGTCTGGCCCAATTCCTGCTCCCTAAATGGGGACTCCAGGTGCTGACTGCTGGGAAGGTGCAACGAATCGTACCTATGTTGGCTCCCCAGGTCCGTCAGCGCGTTCACGTTACCGGAGGACGAGGTGAAGTTCTTCTTGTAGTAGCGGACCCTCTTGGAGCCCTCCACATACTGCCCTCGCTCTTCGTGGACCTTCCCACGCCCGCCATCCGTATTGTACTGGTTACGCTCGGTCCAGTTGCCCGGTCTGACGTAATCGTGATCGTTCAAGCTCGTACCACCCTGAACCAGACCCGCGTGATCCTGGTAATTTCCGGTTTGACGGTTCTGATATGAGGATGTTTGCTCGTAGAAGTTGCAGGATTCTATGCAGCCGCTCGGCGCGGATAAAGCTTGGGCGAACAAAACGGCGGAGAGAATGATTAGCTTTCCGGTCGCCATCGTCCCCATCCGATCTCTGAAATGTGAATAGAAAATTTTAATAAGTTTTAATATTTTCTTTATATATATAAATATTTTAAAAATTATTTAAAAATGAATAAAAACTCATCTAGAAATTTTAGACGTATATTTTTCTTTAGTCCTATTTCATTATTGCAATAAAAAATTATTTTAAATTTTTATTACAATATTAAGACTAAAGAAAAGAATTTTTAGTATTGAGTATATTTTTTGCTTCTATTTCTTTTTATTCATTTTTTTAAATAATTTTCTTTAAATATTTTTTGTAAAATAAATCTTAAAGAATGTTCACAATAATAATAATAATAATAAAATGAAATAGAAGCAAAAATATACTAATCTAAAATTTTTACCTAAATATATTGTTTTGCTCCTATGTTTTATTTTATATTTCTTATTATTATTATTGTAAATATTCACTTTTTTAAATTTTGCAAAAATTATTAAATTTTTAACTAAATATAAATACATATTTGTGCTTCTATTTTTATTTCATATTTCTTTATTATTATTATTATTGCAAATATTAATTTTTTCAGATTTTGCAAAAATTATGTAAGGAAAATTACTGATTATTCAAAGGAAATTACAAAAAAAAATTTATCAAAAAGTCGACGTAATCGATAAACGAAAAAGAGCAATAATTATGCATAACATGATGATGTACAAATTAAATTTATAATTTGTTATGACCTTTATCGATTTTCAATTAAAATGTCCGTGTTAATATTGCAAAAAGAAAGAAAACATATGCACTTTATTTCTATATTTTTGATTATTCCAATTTTTACTTTTAATTTAAATCTTTGGAGAACATATTTAACACAAATATGCACATTGGAAAAAAGATATTGTTAATTATATATATTGTAAACTATATAAGGATAAATTTCGAGTAGTAAAAAAGACCAAAGTTTCTATCACACATTTTGTGGGTTTCCTCGTTAATCAAAAAATTCACACCTGTGCAAAATATCGTATTACCTTATAATTGGAGGAGACGCGCTAACAAATTCAGTAGTTAATGCCGAGATGTTCTCACTAACACTGTAGGCTCACGTATAGCTGAAGCAGATTACCGCAAATCCATTTATGTTCTCTCCCCCTTCCTCCCATCGATGATTCCTGAAGCACTTACATACATATATTAGCGATCTTTTATTTTTATCCATCGCCCAGAGTCCGGAGATTCGTTCTTATCGTACACAATTCTTGGTAATGTGAGATTGAGAGAGAGAGTTCTGTCATGGACATAAGAATATTCCCGTTTCATCAATATTTCGATATATTTATTATATATAATTATTTATCACACTTTATATGTATATATCGCGTCATATCTTTATCGCATTTTGTCGGTTTTCCTTTATAAAATCAAAGCGAACATGAATCATATCCAGGGTTGGGTAATAACTTAATTAGTTAAAAGTTAACTTACAATTAGTTAATTTAAAATGTATTAATTTTTAATTTCAACTAGTTATTTTTGATCTTAAACCTATTAACTTTTTTCTTTATTTCCTACCAATCATTATCATCATTCACAGAATATCTTTATCGTTTTTTTTATAAGTTATAAACGTATTTTTCTTTTAAATTAAAGTATTATTAATTTTTATGTTTACTTGTCATGAATTGTAATTACCAAACAATTTCTTTATTTGTTTAAAATTTAAAAGAATTAACAAACAAAATTCTAATTTAATATAAATGTTTTTAGAAATTAAGTTTTGATTTAACTTCAGTTAATTTAATCTTACCTTTTTAACTGAGGCCATTTATTTTGTTCGTGGAACTTTTAATTTAACTAAATTAATTTTATAAGCAATTAACTTAGTTTTAACAAATCATTGACTTACCCAATTCTAATCATATATTTCTTTCGAGATAATGAAATTTATTTACGACGCATAAAAATACCAGTTTTTCATTAAAAAGGATTATCATATAAAAATAAACTTTTCTAACATATAATTAACGTGTTAAAATTACAATTGCACAGAAAAATCCATCATATTTATACGGAAAAGGAGATTTTTCTCCTGCGAAGAGAGAAAAAAGAATCTGCTATTAAAATAGGAAATGACAGAATGCAGTTATCGCTTGCTTGTAAATAATTGATCACGTTTAAATGTATCCTGTTTGAATGAATTATATCTCTTGAAATAAATGATGCATTCTGTTGACATCGATATATATACAGCGATCAGCATAATTCAATCATTTCCAGGTAGTGGCTAGAAACCCAGGTTTTCCATATTTGATTGGATGAGGTCATCGATTAAGTCATTCTGAATTTGTAACATATCCACATATCCGATGTTTCAGACTCGCTTTCATTCAGGAATACTATGAATAATATCAAGGTCGTTGTTACGTAAAGGTCATCATTTCGTCTAGCTATATTTGCATCGTCCAGTTAATATTTGTCAGAATTTTTATATCGTCCAGTTAATATTTGTAATAATATTTATATCTTTCCTATGATATACAGAGAGGAGAAAATGATTTTTCCCGAAGAAAAGCTGAATTTAGAACTCGGGGAAGACAATGGGAGGAGTAGGTGGCCTACTTATTACAGAAATGACTGACCTTCCTAGAATATGAAGCCGTGACCTTTTATCGTGTTAAGGGTGAATAATATTTCCACGATCGTGACCTCAATATAGGTATCATTGAAGCTGTTGGAATTTCCCATTAAAAGATTAACGTGTATAAGGATGAAAAGTTGCTGTGCCAATGTACCTTCTCTCTCTCATTTTAAGAAATTTATATTAAATCATAACTATTTTATTTTTACGAATATGTATCCATGTCATTTAATCAGTAATTTAATATTTTATTACTCGCGTTAGAGTATTAAATAAATGTATATAGTCAATTATAAATAATATAAGTCATAAATATATATTAATAAATAAATAAATATATATGGTAAATTATATATTAAGAAATCATTTAAATATTTATGTCTTTTAATAAGTATTTAAATATTTATATATCTTAATAATAACTATATTTTATATATATATATTTTGCATATAATGGTTATATACGATTTTTTATACGATTATATGAGAAAATATTATATATTTTATATTTTTTATATAAAAATATTTTATATTTTATATAAATATTTTTATATTTTATATAAATTTTTATATAAAATATAAGTATTTTCTTATTTTTATAATTTATATATACATTATATATTTTATATATATATTTTACATATAATGGTTATATACGATTTTTTATATGAGAAAATATTATGTATAATTGACTCAAAACCTTATGTAATTTTTATATGTTAAAAAGTATTTAGAACATTCTCAATTGTCCTGAATGAAGACAAGTGCATTTGTTTATGATTCTGTAAAATGGAAAATGGAATAGACAGAAAATTTATCGAAATTTTTATTTCGTTATCCGCAAAACTTTGCTCGTCTCACAGCGTTTCTTCAAATTGTAAATTCTATAAATTCGTACGCATCAAAACTGCGACGACCCGTGAGCACTTTGACCTCTTGATAGGGATGACCCGCAGATACAAGTTACACGTTGTTTAATATCTCGGAGAAGTATAAAATATATAATATATACTTTTCACAAACACGAAGTTTCATAATGCTAAATAATTGTAGAAAAAATATTTGCTTTTGATGCACACTTTTAGTAAACAAAAACATGTATGTATATGATGTTTTGAATTCAAATAAAAACATGAAAGAGTGCAAAAGTCAAATATAAAAATATCAAATAATTATATTTTTTTCACTTAATCGAATATTTTTTTATTATAAATTTTCGTTTGTTCAATATACGTGTAAACTTAATATTATATTATATAATACATTTTTGAGTCTTATGAAGATATTTTAATGTTTTTGTACATACATATGTTTCTAAAGCTAGAAAGTTATATATATATTTTTTTTCATTTATTAAAAAATATACAATATTAATAATTTTGTAAAGATACACATTAATTAAGACATTATCTTAAAAATTATATCCTTATCTCTAGAAGCTTGCAACGTTACGCAAATAGGTCAAGGATAAATTTAAATGACAGCTTATATGGCGTCAGATTTAACGCAGAATGACGTACTATGTGCTCTCAATTCGTCATATGAAATATTTCTTGGAATATGGAGAGGATTAAATGAAAAAATGTAGCGCTCGTCGCGAAAATTCTCTGACTGATAATCAACGAATCTGCATATATATGTAAATGTAATAATGATAATTTTATGTTTTCAGAAACTTGATACGACGATACGAATCTTCAACAGGTCAGATTATTATACGTTACATGGAAGCGATGCCCTCTTTGCTGCACAAGAAATATTTAAAACAACGTCTGTTTGTAAAATGATCGGAGCTGGTAAATATCCGAACAATTTTCTAAAAAAAAAAAAAAATTATTTTTACATTTTTGGTAAGAATGTATTCTGATTCTAGCAATCCCTAATTATATACAGAGATATTTCTTGAAACAAAAATCTTTTGTTCTTAAAAAATCTATATTTTTTACATACAAAATTATACAACTAATTATATGATTAACTAATTGTATAAAAATTGTATCATTGGCACCTAATAATACAGTCATAATTTTTGTTCCGCAGAGCCACATAAAACCGAAGGAGTTATTCTCAATAAGGGCCATTTCGAGACATTCGTGCGCGATTTATTGTTAATTAAACAATACAGGGTTGAGGTCTACGTCAATCAAGGCTCGTCGAAAAATCAAAACTGGATCTTGGAGTACAAAGGTTCCCCCGGCAATCTAGCTCATTTCGAAGACATCTTATTCGGTAATAATGATATAGCTGTGGGTGTATCTGTAATAGCTGTGAAACTAGGTACGGAAGGGAAATCCAGAGTAAGTTTATCCAACGTGGTTATATATTTTTTTTGTTTAAAAAATATACTATATAACAATATAAATTATAATAAATTGGAACAACACAAGCGCGCCATTCTTCGATATTATTTATGTTAAAAAGAATATTTTCAAAAAAATAATACAAAGTTTGTTTTAACTCGATTAATATTTTTTGACAGAAATCAGCTGATATATGTCAAAATATTAAATTTTAAAATAATATATTATAAAAATCGTAATATGTTGTAAATAATATGTTATAATATTTTATCTTTAATTAATATTTTTTGACAGAAATCAGTTGATCAAAAAATATCAAAAGTATTAACCGAGTTTAACGTATTATAACATATATACAACATATAACTATTTTCATATTTTTTATGTATTACTATTATAACATTTAATTAGTAAATTAGTAATAATGAAATTAGAATAAATTATAACGACAAAGATTTTCAAGTTAGATGTAACATTTATTAGAAACGGAACGTTTCGTGCTTTTACTTAACACTTCTTCAGCCGCAATGCAAAACACTATATTTAAAACCATGGTCACCACTTTTTTGTCCATGGTTTGTAGAAATAAATTTGCAGTGTTTTAGTTGTTATATTAATATTATTTATTGTGTTTTGAACAGACAAATGTATTCCATGCTCGAAAAAAGGCCTAATAATTAACTATTGAGCTTGTCAGTTAATTTTAATTAACAATAACTTTATTAATATTTTTGACAGAAAAAATACTATAATTCAATATAAATTATAATAAATACTATATATATATATATTATAATATAAAGTATATAGAATTTTATTAATTATAATTTTTAAAATATGTATTTGATATTATAATACTTTGCATAATCTATTATATTATTACATATTTACAAAAATACACGTTTAAAAGTTATATAGTTAATATATATAGATAAATGTTATGAAATTAAAATACGATTTTACTTATATAAAAATGTATAATATTATATCTAAATTATTATTAATTTTTATAGGTCGTTGGATTAAGTTGTGTGGATGTCGTTTCAACTTCAATTTTAGTCGCCGAATTTCAAGATAACGAGTCATTTTCGAATTTAGAAGCACTCGTTGTAACTCTTGCTCCAAAAGAGTGCTTACTTATTCAAGGAGAAGGCAGTTATGAGTTTAAAACTCTTAAACAAGTATGTAAAAATATTATGTTGTAATATCAAATATGCAAAATGTTGGTAAAAAGCATGAGAAAAGGATTAGTTACACACTTAAAAATTTTTAAATATAACATTGCGCTATGTTACATCTTTTATAGTATTTTCATATTATAATTATATTATTTTTGCAGTTAATGGAAAGAAATAATGCGATGGTTACTTTAAGAAAAAGAAATGAATTTTCCAGTGATTCAATCATAGATGATTTAAATACGTTAATAAAATTCAAGAAAGGACAGAAGGAGAATGCACAATCGCTGCCTGAAGTTAATTTAAATTCAGCAATGTCTGCTACATCTGCTCTTATCAAATATTTAGATGTAAGTATTATCTTGTTTAGAAAAAAATTGTTGGTATAATGTGAAATGTTGCATCTTTATTATCCAAAATTTTTATGATACACTTGTTAATAAATTTAATAATATTCTTTTTGTATCGAAAACAACTGAGAAAAAGAAAGAAAAAAAACAGTTAAACAAGAATATTCCATTTTTATTTGATACTGAAAATATAAAAAGAACAAATAACGATTTTATTAAAATGATTAAATCAAAATAATATCAAAATTTGAATATTCTTTGTGTCTATTGCTGTGATATATTACGCAATAATTTTTTTGTTAGTTAACATCGGACGAGGGCCACCTGAATCAATTTAGTCTACAGCAAATGGAGCAATCGCGATACATAAGACTGGATTCCGCGGCAATAAAGGCTCTTAATATAGAACCGCAGATTGACACAGCTTCTAATTTGTACGGAAATCCTGCCGCCAGCGTCTTAACATTATTAGACAAGTGCAGAACCGCACAGGGGCATCGGCTGATTGCGCAATGGGTTCGACAGCCTCTTAGAGACTTGTCTCTAATAAAGGAACGGCACGACATCGTCGAAATATTAGTACAGAATAACGAATTAAGATCCATACTTCATGATGATTATTTAAAACGTATACCAGATTTGCAGCAGCTTGCCAAGAAATTGGCTAGAAAAAAATCGGCGTTACAGGATTGTTACAAGTAAGCTATTTATGTAAAATTAACGTTTATTGCAATACGTTTAGAGCAAAATCTTAATGTATATTACAAAGAAATATTCTAAAATCATTATTTCTTTAACAATTCTTTGATCAATTTAAAATTGATTTTCTTCTTCACGAAAATCTCGAAAGGCATTTTCTGCAAATTTTCAATTTTCGCCATTATATATCTTTACATAATCAATTTTTATAAATTTATAAATTTACATTTAAATCCATTTTTAAATGATTATTTAAGTCTTATTTACAAAAATATTTTTTTCATTGTAACTCATTTAAAATCTTAATAATTCCACATTTTGATTTGAATTTAATTTATATATATATATATATATATATATATATATATATATATATATAAATTATAAATCTTTTAATATAATTTTAACAATATATTAAAAAAATGTTATTAAGTTAATCCACATTTGTGGGAATTATTAAATTAAATTAAGTTAAATTAAAATTCCATTTAATATCACAAAATTTAATTTGCAAAAGGAACCTTTTTTTACCTATAATTCGGAAATTATTAATTGCCTTGACATTTTCATTAAGATAAAATAATTTCCAAATTGGTCAATTTAATTAAAATGATTTTGGGATATTATTTTTGTAATAAAAACCAATATATTTATGTGCTTATTGTAAATATGTTATTTCAGAATTTACTTGTGTGTATCATATTTGCCGAAACTATTAGAACAACTTTCATCGGAAGCAAATGTGACAGCATTAAAAGCAATGATAATAAATCCATTAAAAGAATTGATAGAAGATATGGATAAATTTCAACAATTGGTGGAGCAGACAATCGATTTAGACGCTGCTGAGAAAGGAGATTTTATGGTTAATCCGGGATTTGCGGATGATTTAAAAGGTAATAATCTTGAATTTTGATCTTTCTTTAAAGTCACATGTAAAATATTTTCAAATAGAATTTTCTAAATTGAATTATAGATAAAAGAAAGAATTTAGAACATCATAAAAAAATATATAGAAAGAAATCTAAAATTTTTAACACATCTTGATATATCACGACTTCTATCTATCAAATTTTAAATGCAAATAATGCAAAATAAATAAGAATTTTTAAAAATATTATAGAATTAAAAGATGCCATGGAGGAAACAGAGGAAAGGATACAACGACAACTCGGTAAAGCGGCGGATGATCTTGGCTTGGAAGCAGGAAAAACGATAAAGTTAGAATCTAATCAACAATTTGGTTATTACTATCGTATTACGCTAAAGGAAGAGAAAATACTTAGGAATAACAAGCGCTATACAATATTGGATTCTAATAAAGCTGGTGTAAGATTCCGTAATTATAAATTGAGCGAAATAAACGACGATTATATAGCCGCCAGAAATAAATATCTGGAGAGACAGAAGGATGTTATAACAGAGATTGTGGGAATTGCAGGTTCGTCCCACATTAAGAAATATATTACTTGTATATTTACTGCGAAATATAAATATTAATATATAATATAATATTATATAATATTAATATATAATAATATATATATATATTAATATTATATAATAATAATATATTACATATTAATATTATGTCATATACATATATAAAATATATATATTAATATATAAAATAATAATATTAATATATAATATTAATACACAATAATATATATATAATATTAATGTATAACTACTAATTTTTATACCTGTACAGCTGGTTACAGCGAAACAGTACGTACTATTGGTGGTGTGCTGGCGTGCCTCGACGTTCTCACGGCGTTTGCTTCCGCAGCAGTGAGCGCTAATAAGGTATATGTGCGTCCTGAGATGGTCCCGAGCGAGGAAGGCGAATTGAATCTCGTTCAAGTCAGACATCCGTGTTTGGAGATGCAACAAGGAGTAGATTATATTGCCAACGATATAAATTTTAAGCGTGGTACGAATTCAATGTCTTCTATAAAAATAATAAGTTCTATAAGAATAATACAATTGGAATTTTATCTATTTATTTGGAATTGTACTTTTATGTATTTTATAAAAAAGAGAATTGTTTCAATTATATATTTATTCAATACAATTTTATATAATTTTTTGAATTATTATATACTATATATGCTATCGTAAATCAGTAAAATAAAATAATCTTACATCAGTTATTATATTATATATATAATAATTATATATATATATATAATATATTGTTTGATTCGTTCTTTATAGATCAGTACCATTTTTGCATTATTACTGGTCCGAACATGGGAGGTAAAAGTACTTACATCAGATCAGTCGGTGTAACTGCATTAATGGCGCATATCGGTAGTTTTGTTCCTTGCGATAAAGCGACCATATCATTATTGGATTGTATATTGGCTCGAATAGGAGCTGACGATTCCCAATTGAAAGGATTATCAACTTTCATGATGGAAATGATAGAAACTGCTGCCATTTTGAAAGTAATTTATAATTATTACAAAAGAATCATTGAGAAAAATTAATAAAAAATAATTCTTGTTAATCTAATATATCATATTGTAACTTTCAGACAGCAACATGTAATTCTCTCGTAATTATTGACGAATTGGGTAGAGGAACATCCACTTATGAGGGTTGCGGTATAGCATGGTCGATAGCAGAGTAAGTGCTATGTCAGAAACTGTCACTTTGTACAGAGTGTTCCATAGGAAATTGCTGAAACTAATCAGCTGTTATTTTTTAATGCATGCAGTTATTGAGAAAACATTTATTGAAAAAAGTAATGAAAAAAGTGCTAATAATCATATATGTGCTAATGATAAATATTTGCCAAGTGCGCACCATTTAAATTTGTACAAAATTCTGTTCTTTTACGAAAACTCGTAAAAACTTTTTCTAACATGTCATTTTTAACAGTTCTTTTAATAGCTGCTATTAAATCTAGCACTGTTGAAAATATCATTAGTTTGTGACTTTATGTAATTATTAGACTTTTTTCTATCAGTAAAACAAACTGGTATACAAACATTTTATTTATATCCATTAAAAACCGCAAACTTTGTCTTTCCAACACAATTTTTGTTTTCTCAATAACTGCATGCATTAAAAAATGCCAACTAATTAGTTTCAGCAATTTCCTATGGGATACCCTGAAAATTATTTGTAAAAAAACATTTTTTATATGTATATTTATATATTTATATTTTTTTTAGACACTTGGCAAGGGATATTAGATCATACAGTTTGTTTGCTACTCACTTCCATGAGATCACCAAGTTAGCCGAAGAAATACCTACTATACAAAATCATCACGTCACTGCTCTTGTCGAAGATGACAAATTGACGTTGCTTTATAAAGTGAGACCAGGAATCTGTGATCAAAGTTTTGGTCTTCATGTTGCTAAAATGGCGAATTTCCCTTCAGATGTGATAGAGGTATATAACTGTAAATTCATGTAACATAATTGATTGATTAATATTATAAACTTTTATATCGGACTAAGTTTAATTATGTTTTTAATGTAATATTTTATTTTTTCAGTTTGCCAGAAAAAAGCAAGCAGAACTTGAGGATTATCAAAGCGTAGCTTTTGAAGGATCCGATAATCTCCAAAAGAAACGGAAGATTGTTCAGGTTTTTGTTTATTATTAACTAATATTTCTGATAATTAAGTGAAATAATAAATATTATTACATTGGTTATACATTGGTACAAAATAATGTATTTAAGAATTTATTAATTGCATTAATAAGAATAGAATTGACACGTTTGCGAGATGATAGCTAAAAATCTGTTTAATATTACAGGAGGCTGAAACTCTCATCTCGCAATTCCTCAAGAAGTGTAAAACTTTGGATCTGAAATGTTTATCCGATGCTGATCTAGAAAGTGAGATATCGTCATTGAAGGAAGAGGTACTCTCTCATAAAAATCCTTACATCAAAGCACTACTAGATGCTTCTTCTTAAAAAAACTTGACAATTATAGAAATCCCTATGTTTGGGATGCTTAAAAGAGAGTCGGACAACATACAAGCAGTATTATTTTTATAAATATCTTGTTAATTATAATACACCTTCTTTCAAAATAATTTTCATTAAAAAGGATAATATTTTATATATATAAAATGTTACAATAATTAAATTTTATCTTTCCATTTTTCCTCTTCATTCCTATGTTAGAGGATGAAAGAGAGAGATAATTTTTATTTTCATAATTATTTCTTGTTAATTATAATACATTTCTCTTCTCCCGAAATATGGAAAATAATTTTTATTATAAAAAAGGAAAATAGTTTATATTAATATTTATATTTATAAAATTAATATAATTATTAATTATATAATATTTCTAAAAAAACGTGTGGTTACGTTTAAAATTTTGCTTCTGTTTAAGCATGATTTTATCGATTATTAAATTTTCATTCCTGTAATAACTGGAGTAATTTAAAAGATGTAATATTTTTTTAGCATATTTTGAATTGAGACTCGGTTGAATTTTCGCAAACGATTAATTGATACCGTCTGCCGATAACATATTGATTCACATTTCATCCGCTATTGTAACCTTGAACTTGACTAGCGTATTCGCTGGTCCTGGGGAGTGTCTGAGAGGCCTGTACCAAGTGCTACTGTTGATCTTGCAACACTTTTCTATCGTTTTTATTCGTACAACACAGACAATTATGGATCCCGCGGTCTTCCCGGAAGAGATTTGGATTAAGATTTTATTATACTGCGACGTACCTGACATTATCGCGTTCGGTAGCACCTGCAAATATTTGAGAAAAACCTCGGACACGGATTATCTGTGGTGAGTGAAGACGCTGGGGTTAGGTTTACGTCGAAAGTCCGGACGACTTTTGCAACATTTTCCGGGGATTTGCGATTTTTCTCAACCGGATACTCGATCAAAATCCAAACCTGTCATCTGTCAAACTTCTCACGATTATCGTACTCCGCTAGAGAATCTCTTTCACGTCCTTCTCTATCGTTGATTCTCTGCGATTTTTCTTAACGCACACTCGATGAAAGATTCAAACTTGTCATCTGTCATCTGTCAAACTTATCACGATTCTTGCAAAAGATAATTTCTTTTACATCCTTTTCCAAGTTAATTATGTGCAATTTTTCGTAACGCACACTCGGTAAAAGTTTCAAACCTGTCAACTGTCAAACTTAAACTTGTCATCTGTTAAATGTCACCTGTCATCTGTCAAACTCATGACGATTCTTGCAGAAGATAATTTCTTTTACATCCTTTTCTAAGTCAACTATGTGCGATTTTTCTTAACGCACACTCGATAAAAGTTTCAAACCTGTCAATTGTTAAACTTAAACCTGTCATCTGTTAAATGTCACCTGTCATCTGTTAAATGTCACCTGTCATCTGTCACCTGTCATCTGTCATCTGTCAAACTCATGACGATTCTTGCAGAAGATAATTTCTTTTACATCCTTTTCTAAGTTAACTATGTGCGATTTTTCTTAACGCACACTCGATAAAAGTTTCAAACCTGTCAATTGTCAAACTTAAACCTGTCATCTGTTAAATGTCATCTGTCATCTGTCAAACTCATGACGATTCTTACAGAAGATAATTTCTTTTCTAAGTTAACATCCTTTTCTAAGTTAACTATGTGCGATTTTTCTTAATATACACTGGATAAAGTTGCAAACCTGTTAACTGTCAAACTTAAACCTGTCATCTGTCAAACTTATCACGATTATTGTACTCCGGAAGCGAAAGATCTCTTTTATAGCCTTTTCTAAGTTGATCCTGTGCGGTTTTTCTTAAGCGCACACTCGAGAAAAAATTCAAACCTGTCATCTAAGATCTGTCACCTGTCATCTACCATCTGTCAAACTTGTCACGATTATTGTACTCTAGAAGTAAAAGCTAATTTCTTTTACATCTTTTTCCAAGTTGATTTTCTTACCGTTTCAGGAAGATGAAATGGCTGCAGCTGATCTCGAAGGTGCACTTCAGGTTCCCAGACATCAAATGTCTGCAGTTGCTCAGCGTCAGCTTCAAGGCCATGTGCTATAGACTACACATGGTGATAACGCTGGGGGAGAATGTACCCTTCCCCAAGTGCTACCACTGCAGCGGATACACCTGTCAGAGGAACTGCGTGGAGGGTTCCAGCGCCAAGGTGGTGATTGAGATTGGGAACAAGTACACATGGGTGATCACTCCAAATTTTGGCCTGAGAAGGCACTTCTCCATGTTCGGCATCCCCAAGTACAACAATAAGACTCACCTGGAGCAGGCGCAGACCCAGGCGCAGACTCCCAGTAGCAGCAGCAGCCGTTCCAAGTCTGATGCCAAGTCCCTGGCGAAGAGATTGAAGCTGCTGAAACTGTCGGAACTTGGTACAGCGAAGATCTCCCGGCCGAGTGGGCCGTTCTGCGTTTTCTGCAACACCGTGAAGCTGTACAGGGAGAAGAAGAGATTGATCACGCATCAGAATGATCCCATGTGTTACACCAGACCGAATCCGATCTATCAGAAGCTCATCAACGGCTATTGCACCGACACAGTCGACGTCTTCGGGATCCCGAACGTGGACGTCGTGAGCCCAGCCGAGGCGTTGCTCTGCGAGGGCACGTTTCCGGTTCTCAAGACCTTCATCGATCACCTATTTCATCAGATGAGTTTAACCGCGACCCTGAGAAAGCCCAACACTGTGCTCATGTTCTGCGAACCACTGGCCATGCATCCTATGTTGAGGAAACAGCTGTTACATTATCTATTCCAGGAAGTTAAAGTTGCGAGGTAGAGATATGAAGAATATTTGGCCTATATTATGTAAGCTCTAAATTGATAGATTGATTTTAGATGTATATTTATCTGCGTCTAACTTTAGAGATACCTCTAACTTTAGAGGTGCAGCTAGAGATAGATGTGAGCTCATACAGGCCTTTGAGATCTCTTTCTTAAATGGAGTGTCCTGTTACCTCTGTGTATTAAATTACAGTTATGTTATTGTGATATACTTTTGATATGTGCATGTGATTCTATAGCTGATATTATTGCAGGGTATGCTTGGTACCGAAACCTCTGGCTGCATGTGCTATGTTGGACGTGGAGACCTGCGTTGTGATCGACAGCGGTGCTTTGAGTACGACTGTGGCAGTGGTGATCGGAGGACGAGTTATACCACAACGTTGGAGATTACTGCCTGTAGGTGGTTGGCACGTTGCTTATCACTTGAAGCAGGCTATGCACTGGCAACCGAAGGAGTATCATCAAATTCCTATATCCTACCTGGATGTTTTGGCTGTTAAAGAAAGATGTAGACTGAGCTATAACATTAAGAACGAGGAGAAACGCTTCGGGCTGAAGGCGAGCGAGCAGATTAATCTTCGAATTGATAGCTACGCGAATAAACCATATGTACGTATCACAGTTTTATATATGCGGGATGTCTCATAGGAAAATGCTGAAACTAATCAGCTGTCAGGTTTTTAGTGCATGCGGTTATTGAGAAAACAAAAATTGTGTAGAGAAAAGTCCGCAGTTTTTAATGAATATAAATAAAATGTTTGTATACCAGTTTATTTTATTGATAAAAAGTAATGAAAAAAGTGCTGGTATACAAATATTTTATTTATATCCATTATAAACTGCAGACCTGGGACGTCCTGTATATAGCGTTATTGTAGCTGCAAAGAAATTTAATTCAGCTCATGATAAAAAATGTGTATTAAGCAAACATTCTGTTATATTTTTAGAAAGTCTCTTTAGGACCCGAGTTGTATATAGCCCCTGAAATGATGTACATTAGCCTCCGTTTGCCTGAAGTGATAAAAGATGTGACGTCAGGATTACCGGAAGATATAATGCATGATTGCCTTTCGCATATTCTACTCACTGGCGGAAATACGGATCTTTCGGGTTTCGAATTAAGGCTCACCAAGGATCTACGTGAACTCTTGCCGGAGTATAGCAAGATTTTAGAAGTGAAAAGCTGTCCTGGTACGCATAGTTGGAACGTGGCAATGGGATCTACATATGTGCCTTTAGCCGTGCATCCTGGTAAGCATTGATCTGTGTATTTCTATGCACATAATGATTAAATATGAAACTGTACAGTGTTGAAAAAAAAATGTTAAATATTTTAAGAGGATTTAGTATGCCTAAAAATAAGTTAAGTCTTAATAAACGTAATAGGTTCGCAAATGAGATTTTTAAGATATTTGCAATTTCATATAACTTAACTTACTTATAATTTAATTTAATTTACTTATATTTACATGAATAAAATAATAAAAAAATAAAACTTAAAATTAAAAAAAAAATTATAAAAATAAAAAACGATTATTTGCGGATTCATTATTAAGACTTTTCGATTTATTTTTGGACATACTAAATCCCCTTAAAATAATTTAATAATTTTGATTCAAGATTATTAAAGATTAATTATTATTAAACATTTTTAGATAATTTTTAGCTTACTTTCTACATTCTTTGTGATATGTATTTGTATGTTTTTATATTAGAAGCTTTCTATTTCTTGAAAAAACTATATGAAAAATTAGGAACATGTTTAAAGTGTATTAAAAGCAAAGTAGAAAAATATTACAAAATAAAAATATAAATAACATAGTATTAATTTTTTCAAAATTATTTACATTTTAGATAAAACTCCGCCGGAATATATTGAAGGTAATCCATTTTGGTTATCACGAGAAGAATACGTGTTGTTTGGATGTGAATCTCTGGAACACAGTAATGAAGGTATAATAGGCGATACCTTATAATGTGAATGCCTCACTTATTATAAAACCAAGATATGCGTGCGTATCTTATATTTATATGAAAAGGAAAAATAATATATAACGACAGGAAAGTAAATGTTACCATCATCAAGTATATTTTCTCTTATATTGTCTATAAATTGCAAGAGTAATTTTTAGAAAGAGCTGAAAAGGGGCCTGAGACATTCCAATATATATATATATATATATATATATATATATATATATATATATATATATATATAAATAATCTATCATGTTCATTATCTAAAAAGGCACCTGAATGTGTTTCTCTTTCTCAAATTTTGCTATTTAAAATTTATTTAATAGTATAGTATGTGTAAAAAAGGTATATATAGCAAATGTTCCATTGTGATCTACACAGAGCGAAATCTGTACATCAAACCAAACAGGACACATGGAAGTTTCGTTTCAATGGAAGTTTATTTGCCCTTAAATAATAAGTTTCATTGCCCTTTTCTAGACGCATAAGTGGATGCTTTGAATTCACATTGACTTTAAAAGAAAAGTATATTTTAATAGTGTATAATGAATTTACACACACAAACACACTATGCAACACATACATATATACACAGAGTGATTGTTGTGCTTATGTTTTATACGAGAGATGTTTTATTGTGTAGATTGTAAGGAACATCTTGTATATATGTTCTAAAACTGCCCCCTTCTGTATTAACTTCGAAACTTACGGCATTTAAATAATTACGAGGCATCCACTAAAAAAAAATTCATTATCTATTCATAGTATTTTAGAAGTATCATGAAACTCTTCATATAAAACTAGTTGATATGCCAGTTGCAATAGTTTTCATATATTCGTTATTAATTCCATCGGAATGGTAATTCTGATGCTATTCGGTGCAATGTTACATGTTGATGGCGTAAATGTTTTGAGTAAAGCTGCAGTAATAATAAGAAATTTGATGCCATCTGAGCAATTTTAAATTATAAAGTTATTATTTGTTTATGTGTATATATAGCACATAATACGCAATGAATTGTTTTTTGTAAATATAACCGAGCTGCTTAAATTAAAATTGTACAAATCAATATATAATATGTAAACGTCAAACACGAGTATTATTATATGCAGCTAGATATAGAATATTTCCAGAAATTGTTCACTATTTCGTACATTTATATCACAGAAATCTTGCCAAAAGAAGTATGTGTATGTTAACAAGAGGAAATATATAGAAACAACATTTCTAGTCACTTTAGATATATAGATATAGATTTAAATATATATTCAATAAAAAAAGGAAAAACAAAAAATAAACGAAAACCGAGAGATTTCTCTTCCAAGATGAGATAAAATGATCACACTAGTGACTTGTAAGAACTAAAACAAGGAACAATGAAAATCTTTAGATTATAATTTATTAATATATATATATATGAAGATAATTGTTACTCTATATATATAAATATATTTTTTTTTGTTAATCATACCTTTTTGAATAAGTTACATAAGATAATTACTGGTATAATTGTACTCTTGTGTACAGAGTTATTTGATTAAGAGACTGTAATGAATTTTATAGTTGTATAATTAGAGCATATATATATATATATATATATATATATATATATATATATATATACATATACGAAAGATGGGTTAAATATACATATTATTTAGATAAGAATATGTAATGTGTAGTTAATATATATATATATATATAATATATAGGAGTTAATTAAAAAGGATAGTATTGTAAAAGCTATGTTATAAAACTGACGTTTGTATTAAAAAAATATCTATCTAAATTATTATTATTATAGCTACATTAAAACTTTATCAGACAAGACTTACTTAGGTGTTCATACAAATCATATGGCTTCAATTCTGTAAAACGCTGAAATATGTAAGTATAAAAATCTTAAGCAAATGAAGATACAAACAAAGTAGCTTCTAAAACGCATACATACATACACACATATATATCTCGTTTTCACTTTAAACGTAAAACAATTTTGCATCTTTAATATAATACATATAAATATATATATCGGACTTAATAATGCAATACAATCTTGGAGATAAGAAATGAGCGTAAAAATCTGTGTGTTTACTCGATTATTTTGTAAAACATCTCTTTTTTTCCATAATAATATATCTTAACGTTGCACTCTTAAAAACTTTTTATAGTTTTATAAACAATAAGATTGTTTTAATCTATACTCGTTCAATTATAATATATTGTTACATCTGCCATGACGATTTATACTTTTGAGCACTCAGCGTTCATCGTATTCGAAAAATGTAGCGAAAATCTTTTCATTGCGTTAAAATATAAAAATTGCATATAGATATATACTCACTGTTGCTTGTGGTTCTGTTATTTATAAGGGATGTACAATGTGTAAATAAATCTTTTTCAGATATCCATGCGTTATATTATATGTATTATATGATAAAACAAAAAAACACGAATATAAAGAGAAAGAACGTAGTTCACTTTTTTTTTTTATAAAAACTTGGTAAATTTCTATTGTACAGTTATATACAAAATACATTCCGAATGTAATATATCAGAGTGTTAGACATTTACAGAATTATTTCGCTCTTTTACGTTTCCGTGAAACAGGGGGATACTTGTAATTTGATACGGAAAAAAGAAAAAAAATGTACTTTCATACAATCGTATCGCTTTATTAACAATATTAGCAAGCTGCTACGGAATTATCTTTCACTGTATGTATTTATAAAATTATCTACAAATTTTATTTTTCTTTTTTACACAGCTGACAAGTATAAAATGTAGTAAAGAAAGATTAGATACTCTCTCAATGTAATTTCATTCATTACTACTTACAGACTGTGAAGATTTATTTAACAATATTACGCATTGTATGTATATTTATATTAACATTAAGTCTGAAAGAATATTTCTACGCGTGTATAAACGATAGTTCCGAATTGCATTCATGTTGTGTGTAGTCTGAGTTTGAAAAATATTCTGTTTGTAAAACTTACAGAAAATCCCAGATAAGGTAGGTATATTCAAAATATAGCGCGTACCAGTTTATGTAAAAAATCTCAATTATTAATATTTCAATCTAAAATATAATGTATATGTATATATGTATATATAATATATATTACTATATATTTTTCTATATACTTTGGTGCTATGTTTAAATTATTTTTATGATACATAAAGCAAGCGACTTTACAATACCACACTAACATCAACAACGCATATGCTAAGTATGTATATTACAATTCCATATTTTCACAAACTCTGGCATTGATTTAACGACTTATAAGGAATGAAATTGTGAAAAAGTAGCGAGAGAAATATGTTTCGGCTTTTGTTTTGTATCTATATAATTTTGTGTTTTATCTAGCAGTTTTAAATTTCGTTTAAATAACAAATCTCGTATACTTGTTATTTGTAGAAATAAACTTTTATTATTTCACAAAGACAAATCAATTCAACAAAACTGCACAGTCTTTTATTGAACAACATTACTGATCCGTGATAGACAAAGTGACACCAAACAGCCTCATGTTATGAAAATGTCTTTACGGTTTTAAATGTTTCCTACATTATGTGTCGCATGTTGTTGAAACAGTTTATAAAAACAATCCTAATTCAATGCTTATTGTGATATCATATAGTGTTAACATATCAGATGACCAATAAAGTTCATGTTTACAGAACTGTGCACATTCTGTTAAGAATTCTGTGATTGATTTAATGGTCAAGAGGTGCTACGATACGATGTTTCTCAGCAAATTGCTGAAGTTACAATTACGCATCTCGTTATCGCTAAATAAGCCATTAAGGAATCTAAGTAGAGAACGTTGAAATTTATTATATAATTTCAGACTTTGTTGCAAAACTCTAATTAACGCAGTTTATGGTCGATCTTGATTTTGCTTTCACATTCTTACGAAAACGCATACGTAATATTTATTTGAACAAGTACTTTCAAATTAAAGGGAAGAAAAACTACTTCAAATTGCTACCATTTTCACATGATTAACTTTATATAATACAAACTTGGCACAGTAGCTTCAAATAATAGGATATGTACGTCATTCAAAGATAAAAAGTGTGCATAAGTGGTGTTTCTCTTATTCAGTCCATAATCCATAAAGAATCGCTGCTTTTTGGAACGTTTATATTTCGAAGAAATAAATCTTCGTATAGTTTTCTTTTCTATGAATATTCAATTATTCTAAGAAATTGTACGAATTTTATTAGTCATCTGAGGATTTATGCAAATTATATATGTACAAAAATCATATATACGTAATTTTCAATAATTGTTAGTCTTTTTCCTAAAGAGAAAGAATGCAGTAGAAAGTTATTCGTCGCAGTGAGTAAAAAGAATTGTGCCTATGTGTGTTGCTACTTAACAAAACATTAACACAGTACGTAAATCTTGTAGAAACAATCTGTCATATATATATTAATGCAATAAATAACTTTACAGTCTGAATTATATGTAACACATATACAGGTAAACAACATGCTCGTATATTCATTAAATTACATATTTAATGTATTTTTTTTCCCTGAAATAACTATTCCATCTGCATTCTCCGAATTCTGTTTTTTTCTTCCTTCCTTCCTTTTCTTACTTTGATAAATCAAAATAATAACTTAACAACACGAAGTCTTTGCCGGTTCTGCCTCGACTAGGTTGAAATCTAAACCACCAGGCCTAGCAAATCCAGTTTTGATGCCATCCCAACCGTCCTCTACTTTGTATTCCCCAGTTTGTATCCTATTATAAACTTCCTGCGTTACAGCTCGAAACGCCTCTTCGACATTCACACCAGTCTTCGCACTGGTCTCAATATGATGCACACCATGTTCGTCGGCAAACGCTCTGGCCTCCTCCTTGGAGACCTCCCGTCTACCACCATTGGTCACCAGATCCAACTTACAGCCTACCAAAGCGAATACAGGACGATGTGGCTCAATATGTCTGCGGGCCTCCATCATCCACTGAGGAATATGTTCAAAACTCGCTCTATTGCATACATCATATATGAGGAGGGCTCCCACAGAGTTTCTATAGTACGATTTTGTAATTGACCTGAAAAAAAGAAATTGAAATATACTCAATGCTTATCTCTCCTGCCAAAGTATGATAGAAGTTAATAGAACAAGTGTAAGCGTATGTATAGAGAAAATTTATTATTATTTACTACATTTTTCAGTAAGCGCAAAGATGTGACTACCTAAATCTCTCCTGACCAGCTGTATCCCACAATTGCAACTTTATCCTTGTCCCATCCTTGACTTCTATTAACCGTGCGAAGAAATCCACTCCAACCGTTGGATCTGAAAGCTAAAGTTGGAGAAGATATATTAAACAGAAATCCTTTTTTTCTTCTCGTTAAGCCATTGCAGCACTCCTTAGAAATTATTGCACTAATTTTTACAATTATATTTTTTCAATCTGATTTTTATACTCGTATAGCTAATTTTTTAATTTTAAAATTATATTCTATTCTGATAATCTGATAAAATTATATTATATCTAATTATATTATAAATATTCATCTGCCTGAAATTCTTTAATCATATTATTATGCCAACTATGATGATGTAATTCCTTATTGACGAGAATGATACGCAGAAATGCAGACGAAATACAAAAATAGGAGGCAAACGTAGCTCAGGGTTAAATAGCACAAACACTTAAATACGACGTACTATTCAAAGTAGCTGCACGAGGCGGAGCTCTGGCCTAACCTAATTAAATCCAACATAATTATGGCAGTGATTTACAATTGGAATTTAGAAATGTAAAACACTCCTCGGATTGTAAATGCGATGGACTTTAACATTCGCGATAAAAAATCACGACGATATAAGAACAAAGAAGGGAAAAAGACAGGAAGACATTCCTAATGGCAGAGCCTTATATATGCGTGTCATTGGCGAAAATCCGTCCTTACCTCCGCGAATTTGCCATCGGTGAAGTATTTCAGGAGAGAACTTTTCCCAACCGTGCTGTCGCCGATCAGGATCAGCCGAAACTGGTAGTCGAAGAGAGGCTCCACCATCCTTACTAAAGCGCGAGGCGCCCGCGTTGTTGTTATTATATATATATATATATATATATATATATACTATTATTATTATCGTCGTACGCGCGTCCTTTATTTAATCGCCCTTCAGCGGACGGAGCGCATCCCTCGCACCGGCGTGACCTGTCAAAGCGGAACAGCTGATCGTGACACATCAATCATCCGAGCCTCGGATCTCGCGCATCGTACATATAAGGGGAGCGCGAGGGAGAGAATCTCTCCCTTCCTTATTATTTTCACTCTCGACACACCGTATATACGTCCACAAACGTACCTCGCGCTCCGATCGCGCGCGCACTACTGCGCAGTACTGCGCAGACTGCGCACATCCAGGCCGCGAGGGGCGGACCGAGCCGCCCGCGCATGCGCACCGCGACGTGCTGGCAGTGACGTATCTAGGCAACGCGTTCTCCTTGCTCCACTCGGAATGGCTAGACAAATTTTTGCCCCTTCGATTTTGAATTTAAAAACATGTGTAATATCTTAAATTGTGATTATAAAAGGTATAATGTACGAGGAATTTTTTGATTTTTATTTACAAATTTTTCTGTTTTATGTATATTAATAATAATATTTATCTATTAAAAATATTTTTATTAAAATTATTAAATTTATAATTTAATTTATTAATTTAATAGTATTAAATTTATTAGTATTATTAATATTATTATAATATACTACTTTATTTATTAATAATATAATTATTAATATAAATTTAATACATAATTTAATTATATCATAATATTAAAATTAATAATAATATTATTAATGAATAAAGTAACTATAATAGCATTAATAAATAAAGCAATATATAATAATAATATTAATAAAATTATATATTAATAATATTAATTAATTATAATTAATAATATTATTAATAAAATATATTTCTATTAATAATACTAATAATATTATTAATAAAATATATTTCTATTAATAATATTATTAATAAAATAAAATAATTTACTTACGAATAAAAAACTGAAGCGATTCATAAACGGCGCTACTAAAAGAAACGTCATCGAAAGAAACTTCGGAATTGCGTTCGAAAATCTGTCTGTCAAAGTGCAGAATTTGACCGACCAATCGGAAACCGAGAATCTCCTCCTCCTGATTGGTCAATCGAGCGCTTTGTTCTCGCTGAATATATTTTTGAACACAATCTGGATTATCTAGCATCTGCTGCCATCTGGTGCACTTTTATATTGTTCACGATCAAGTTCGCACGCACGTCGCCGGTCCGTGAAAGCTACCAGTGTAATTATACTAATTAGTGAATTAGTAGGTTATTAATAGCGTCTTCGCGTTGTTAATTATCATACAAATCGATCACTGTCTATCATACAAATCGATCGGCTGTCCCGGCATCGCGATCGCGATCGCGCGCGATATCGATATATATGTCTCGTTGGCCGCGAATTTTCGCTGTCCCAAAAATGCGCGGTCACGTGACGCGTGACGTCACAGCTCCGGTTCGAGCTGACAGTTCGCGCGCGCGAGTTTACGCGGGAAAATCGTGAGTGCAAGTGTCTCCTGCAGGAAAAATGGTGCCAGCGAGAACTCCTGAATACCGCCGGGATCGGAGAAGAAGAGTAGTCGAAATGTGAGTCGAATTATTTCTCGCATTTTATTTATAAAGGCGATATGGAAAAATATAAATATTAAATTGATTATATATATATATAGCTGTTAATTATATAATGTAACAATTTATTGCAATAAATTGCTATTGCGATAAAATAGCTGTATATTAAATATTGATTATCATTAAAGATTTTATTTATAGATATTAATTGATAATATAATAAATAAATATATATAGAGATATGAATTACAAAATAAATAAATATATAGATATTAATTATATAATTATAGATATCACAATTGACAATTATTGTGTTAATTTGCCTAAAGGATTATATATCTCTCTGTTGTTATTCGTCGATCACGAGATTTTCGTGCCTAAAAATACTATTTATATGATACGTTACTGTTTTGTTAGCTGCGCATGCGCAAAAAGTTGACTTTCGTAACACATCGTGACGCGTCTTCGTTCAAAAGTTCATTCTCTTTGTTTACATTTCCTTCTCTTTTCCCCTCCATCTCTTAGAGCTTAGATAAATGTATGCATACACATACATATATGTATGTTTAATTCGTTGAAAGTACAGGAAAATGTAACTGAAAACGAGCGAAATCGTTATCGCGATCACGCGCAAATCGTGGGATCAATTGGTGATCATTAATTATATTATACGTAATAATTAATAATTACGCATAATGCATTTGCTCACTTTTGCGCTTATAAATAGCATATTTTCTACATTGTTAAAAATTATGAAAATACATTTACATATATATGCGGCTAGTGAGAAATTTTTAGGCGAGTGAAATGAAAATGGAACACTTTCCCATACAGCACAAAATATTTTTAAATCTTTTAAAAATATTTCTTAAAAGATTAAATAATTCTCGAAAATATTTTTAAAATGTTTCTATGTCCGCTTTTCATGTTCAAAAATATTTTCAGAAATGTTTTTGAATATAGATTTAAACTAATATTTCAACAATATGTATCAAATATTTAAGAAAATATTATCTGAGTGATAAAGAAGAACATTTTTATAAATATTTTTTAAAGTTTTTAAAAATATTCTAAAAAATGTTATCACAAAAAATTTTTTAATTATTTAAAAATATTCTTTAAACCATTTTAAAATGTTTTATGCAATATTTTATAGAAATATTTAGAAATCTTTTTTGAAAACATTTTCATAATAATTTGTGCTGTACAGGTTTTTTCTTTTCTTTTTTCTCGAGGTCTGAATATTTCATTCTGTGCGTAGAAGACGCAAGAAAGCGTAGCTAAAACATATATACTTATTTTATCTTTCTTTCACTTTTATCTCTCCACTTTCTCTCGATCAGCTGTTTCAAGTACGTACGTGTTATTTTTTAATTACATTTTTGTTCTTTTGTTCTCCTTCTACTTTATATCAATACACTTTGTATGCATTATATTTATTATGCATACATTTATGCATTTTAATTCAAATGCAAAAGAGCGCATTTATATATAGAGTACGACTAAAAGGGAAAATTTATTGATTTTTAATTGATTATTAATAAAAAAATCAGTAAATATGCAAGACAATGAAAAGACCAAGTAAACATTTTTCTAACTCTCTTAATCTGACAAAGAAACGAGACAAATAATACTCTGAATAATTTTTGAAGAATTTTTAATTTAATTTTTGTATTAGAATTTTCAATTTAATTTTTGTATTAGAATTTTTAATTTAATACACACTAAAAATTTTATTAACTTCTCTAAACCTTTCAACTAAATTACTATTTTAAAAATTGAACATATATTAGTATTTAAGTAAAATATACGTTTTGTTAGATTTAATATGTTACATTTAATGTAAATATTTTCATATGTTCAATTAACAAAATAATAATCAGATGTCAGGTTAAAAATTTTTCCAGTGTCTGTACATTTTATATTTCTTCGAAAAATATAGCTTTTTACAAACAATATCTTTTTATCTTTTAATAACAACAAGAACAAATAAACATTTTTAACTCTCTTGATTTGACAAAGATATACGAGACGAATAATTAAAACACTCTGAATGAGTTTTTAAGTTAAGAATTTTTAATTTAATTTTTGTATTAGAATTTTTAATTCAATATACTGAAAAATTTGTTAACTTGACTAAATCTTTCAACTAAATTATATTATTTTATTAATTGAACATATATTAATATTTAATAAGTCAAATATACGTTTTATTAGATTTAATGTTATATATTTAATTTAAATATTTTTTATGTTCAATTAACAAAATAATAATTCACTATACAAAATAATAATTAACTATAGTTAAAAAGTTTAGTCAAGTTAACAAATTTTTCCAGTGAATATCATATATTTCTTCGAAAATCTAACATTTTTACAAGCAGTATTTTTTTATCTTTCAATAACAACGCATCGAATATAGAACGAAATCTTTGTTGGATTCTATGGAAATATTATCGTAGAACTTTATAATTTATGCTCTCGTGCTATGAATGCTATGTTCTACTTAACGCGTCGATTACGAGGCTGAATCGACGCTTTTAAAAAGCTTTGTAATGTATTAATTTTTTAGCGCGTTGTACATACATACGTGTCAACTATAATAACTAGGTGAGCTTTCACGATGAAGTTCGTCCAACTTTGTGAAAGCTCACCTTGCTAACTCTCAGCTAGCAACTCAATCTATAGTGTTGCATTTATGTGTGTCTTTTAATTGCATTTATTTTTATTTCAATTACGAGAATTATGAAGACTAAAAAATATCATAAATTGTTATTATATAAATTTACATAATATGTTTCTAATTATAAGATAGGAAATATCTTTTTCTAATAATTAATTAATAAAAACATTGCACTAAAAAAGATTTATTGAATTCGAGTAAGTATTTATTTCAATACTGTCAATTAAATCATTTATTTGAAACTATAATAATATTGATATTTGATGTGAAAAATATTTATTTGTTTCAAATAAATGATTTATTAGGCAATATTGAAATACGTATATTTACTTTAATAATTTTTATTTGATGCACGAATGAACTGGCAAAAACAGCTATTTTTGACATATGTACGCTGAAAAAATTTTATTGAATTTGAATAAATATTTATTTCAATACTGCCTATATAATAATATTAATATTATTTATTAAGCAGTATTGAAATAAATATTTATTAATTTAGTTTAGTCATCTTTCAGTGTGGAAATATAATAATAGAGATTTTCTCGAGATAAAATGTGCTTCCGAAGAAGTTAATCGTTGCTAAAAAGTTAAAGAATCTTTTTATATATACATGGTGTCCGGTAACTAACGGACCAACGATTACAAATGGATTCTTTGGTCAATTTGGGAACGATTTTTCCTCAGCGAAAATGTCTAAAAAGATCATCATTTTTTACAATTTTCCAATATTTGTCATTATGTATCTTTATAACTAAGCCTCAAATTAAAATTTTATTATAATAAACTCTACCTGAAATTAACTGAAGAATGTAATTATGTTAGACTTTTAACTTCAAAACGTTTAGTTTTCAAAAACCCATTTTTTCAATTGCTTATAACTCGAAAATTATTGACTTCTCAACATTTTTGCTAAATTTTTGAAAAATTGTCTCCAAATTGGCCAGAGAATCCGCCCTTAATCATTGATCCGTTAGTTACCGGACACCCTGTATAATTATAATTATTATAATCTAAAAAAATTTATTCTGTTTGTGAAATACAACAAAGTATTTCAGTATTTAATTTTTATGCGCTTTTATTACGCTTTTATCTCTTTTTAATCTTATATTAAATCCCTTTTAATATATCAAATTCTTTTATAGTTAATTGTCATTTAATAATTGATAAACTTATATATTATTCATGATAGATATCGAAATATTTTTATAAATATTTAAAAATGTTAATTATAAAATATATGCCATCATTTAATGTCAAAATAATGTCATTTTGTCGTTTAATGACGTTAGTTTGCTATTGCTATAATAATATATAAATAATATAATATAATAATTATTATATACAAATATATTTATTACGTATGATCGATATATCAACGATCGATATTTCAGTATCGCTGGCACAAAATATTTTTATTTTAATCGAGATAAACTTTCAGAAACTTGTAAAAACCCAAATGACCTCCATTGCACAGTTAAAAATAGAATACGCAAAGCATTTTTAAAATATAAATTTAAAAAAATCTGTAATATAATAATTTAATAAATAAATATATAATATTTATCGTAAATATTTTCTGATATTTATGATAAATATTTATGATCTATTGAATCTAAGACTCCAAAAACATTTATGAAATATTTATGATGAATATTTAAAAATATTAAAATAATTATTACAAATATTCTATAAACATTTTATAAATATTCTGTGCTAGCTGGGATACATATATCGATAGCCGCACACGTCGGTATCGATACGGTAGCGAAGGATTTTCGTTTACACGCTGTTGCCCTGGTGAATCGCGTCGGCGCGCGAGTGACGGCGGCGCGCGATTGGTCGATGACGCGCGCGGCCGCGCGCCCGATTGGCCGGCACGGCTCGCGTATGCGTGACGTCGGGGGGGCGAGGGATGACGCGTCGCGAGGACGCGCCGCGCCACCATTCGTACGCAACGCGCGACGCCGGCCGGTCGCGCCGAGAGAAGTGAACGTCCGATTTTTCGCTCCCGCTGGTCGAAGAATCGCGTCGTTTCGTCGCCAATTAAACCCGTGTTTCGTTACGTCAAAATGTGACGATTGCGCTCGCTCGGAAGAATTCTAGCCGGTTTCTCGCTGTCTCTCTTTCCTGCCGAGGACGAAGAAGCGCCGGCAGCGAACTTCACGGAGGATTTGCAACGGCGAACATGATATTTTCGTGAGGAGTCGAAGGTAAGCTGTTATATATGTTTTAGTTGGAAAATATAGTATCTGGTTTAGCTGAAAAGAATGAGCGGAATGATAAAGAAAATCCGATAGTGGATATGTTTATTTTGCGGCTATTTTACACATTT